TGTCTGGGAAAGCATCATTCTGCTTGCAGAGTGCAACAAATCCACTGGTGTGACCAGTCATTGCTGGAGCGCCATCAGTTGTTATAGAAATTAGTTTAAAGAGGGGCAAGTTGCTTTTATTAACAAACTCCATAAACGCATTAAAAATATCTTCTCCTCTTGTGTGTCCCTTCAAAGGCAAGATGGTGAGCAGCTCCTCTTTTGCACTCATGTCTGCAAAGGCCATTCTGATAAAAACACACAGCTGGGCTACATCCACCATGTCTGTCGACTCATCAAACTGAAGAGAAACACTCACATTCTTCCACGTCCTTTTTTAGTTGCTCCTCCACATCCACAGCCATTCCCTCACATCGCCGTGTCACTGTTTGTCTGGACAACTGCACGTCTTTAATAGCAGCTACGATCTCACTTTTATTTTTAAAATCATGAAAAAGCGCATCTGCAGCCTCAATAAACGCTTCTTTCATAACTTGTCCATCGCTGAAAGACTTCTTATGTTGAGCCAGGATGCGGCTAACACGGTAGGAAGCTATCGTAGCAGCTTTACCTTTTGTGCTGGGGCGAGTGAAGACTGATCAGAGTCAGAGTCAGAGTTTCTTTATTGTCATTCGCACCTCATGTGGTACATGTGGTGGAGCAAAATTATGTACACGGGGTCCCAGTTACATCCAACAATAAAATGTCTAAGAGATTGCTGGGCTGCAAGCTTGTTTTTTAGCTCCCGCACTTTCTGAGTCCGTAAAGAACTTTTAAGAGGGAAATCTGTCTCAAACCGTTTGTGCATCGTCTTGAAATGCCGCTCCAAGTTACACTTTTTGGGTAAGGCAACGCTCGAATTACAGATGAGGCAAATGGACTTCGAATTAGAATAAACAAAAAAATACTCCTCCTCCCACTCTGTGTGAAAATAATAAGTTTTCGTTTGCTTGTTCGCTAGTTTTCCATCCATGTTTTCTGCGCACCGACATTACTCCACTACTGAGCCTAAAGTCTCGTGAGAGCACTGTGTCACCGCACCCAAAACTCGCGAGACTATGTCTGTGAGAATACAAGTCAAGGCTTCGCAGTCGCCCGCGAGCGACTGGTTGGGCACACCTGATCTACAACCTAGGGCGTCCTACTGCCAAGTGCACTTATGGACACCCTTATGTTCGAACATGGTGTTCGTGATGGACAAACTATAACTAGCACAGAAATCCAACACCAGAACGTTGCTCGGGTTCAGATCAGAGAGGCCGTTCCTCCCAATCACGCCCCTCCAAGTCACACTGTCATTACCCACGTGAGCATTGAAGTCCCCCAGCAGAATAAAGGAGTCCCCAGCGGTTCACCTTCCCTGCCAACGACTCTTGTTTTTTTTCCCCTTGTCTTGTCCGGCATTGTGACACTTGGAATTATTGTCTGAGTGTCAAAGTGATGCCCAACAGATTTACTTTTACAAGTAGAGCATTATGGCTGGCCTTAATGCTCCACTTGATTTATAAATTAAATTTTATTAGAATTTGCTTTAGGTTTGTTCCAGATGTAATGGACACAGGGATGAAAAACAAAGAAGATAACGAAGCAGAAAAGTGAGAGAAGGGTTAAAATGTAAAGAAGGAGATAGGAATAGAGGCGAGAGAGAGGGATAAAGAGAACACAAATCAACAGTCTGCCTCTAGACCTGCCGAAAGAAAAAATAGGACAAAACCGAGAAACCACAACAACAAACAACATATATAATGATACTTATAACATTATTAGAAAGTATTTTATACAGTACATGGTAATACAATATATATTTGATGGCCACCACAACCCAACTGAGTGTGTATCTGATAAACACCTGAATCTAAATACCTGTGTGAGCATGCTTATCACTATAAGGTTTCTCCATAAAAATGTTCAATGGTGGATGTGGGGACCTATAAACCCATCCCCACAGGACACGAAAGTAACACAGGGAAGCCCGGAACCACAGACACACAGCGCCTCCCAAGCCCGGAACTCCGGGAGTCCCCCAACAGGGACACCCGCACCCCCCAGAGAGAGAAGCAAAGGGAAGCCCCAGGCGATCCCCAGCAATCACAATGCAGAAACCCCAGGAGGCCTTAGCGACGAGTCCACAGGCCCCGCCGGCAACCCGCCCCTCCAGAGTGGATCTGGCCATGGACACCAAGCCCCGAGTCCCGAGGTCATACCACCCCCCAACAGAAGCCCGACAGAGCCAGGGCACCCAGGCCCCCGCAGGCAGCCACCAGGGCGGGCCCGCACACACCCCACCACCCAGCCCCAGCTGCTGAGAGCCGCCAATGCACCGGCGGCAGGGGGGCCCACCACCGGGGGGGAGCACAACCCACCAAATGGGGGGCAAAAACTGGTCCAAGAGAGGGGCCACCCAAAACCCAACCTGAGACAAACAGGCACACAGAGACAGCCCAAAAGAGCCTCTGTTGGGCTCCATGCGCCCCACCTGCCCAACAGTGACCGCAAGCCGGCCCCAGGCCAGGGGCCAGAGCAGCAGGGAGCAGCAGCCAAGGAAGACCGGCCCAGCGCACCAATGCAGGCCAGGAATGGAACCAAACAGGAATGCCACTGTCAAGGAAATAACAGAATGGGCTCAGGAATACTTCCAGAAAGCATTGTCAGTGAACACAATCCACCGTGCCATCCGCCGTTGCCAGCTGAAACTCTACAGTGCAAAGAGGAAGCCATTTCTAAGCAAGCTCCACAAGCTCAGACGTTTGCACTGGGCCAGGGGTCATTTACAATAGTGTGGCAAAATGGAAGACTGTTCTGTGGTCAGATGAGTCACGATTTGAAGTTCTTTATGGAACACTGGGACGCCATGTCATCCAGACCAGAGAGGACAAGGATAGCCCAAGTTGTTATCAACGCTCCGTTCAGAAGCCTGCATCACTGATGGTATGGAGTTGCATGAGCGCTTGTGGCATGGGCAGCTTGCATGTCTGGAAAGGCACCATTAATGCAGAGAACTATGTTCAGGTTCTAGAACAACATATGCTCCCATCTAGACATCATCGCTTTCAGGGAAGACCCTGCATTTTTCAACACGATAATGCCAGACCACATTCTGCAGCAATCACAACATCATGGCTACGTAGGAAAAGGATCCGGGTACTGAAATGGCCAGCCTGCAGTCCAGATCGTTCACCTATACAGAACATTTGGCGCATCATAAAGAGGAAGGTGCGACAAAGAAGGCCCAAGACGATTGAGCAGTTAGAGGCCTGTATTAGACAAGAATGGGAGAGCATTCCTATTTCTAAACTTGAGAAACTGGTCTCCTCTGTCCCCAGACGTCTGTTGAGTGTTGTAAGAAGAAGGGGGGATGCCACACAGTGGTAAAAATGGACTTGTCCCAACTTTTTGGGGATTTGTTGACGCCATGAAATTTGGAAACAACAGATTTTTCCCTTAAAACGATACATTCTCTCAGTTTAAACTTTTGATCTGTGATTTGTGTTTATTCTGAATAAAATATTAGATGTTGGCACCTCCACATCATTGCATTCAGTTTTTATTCACAATTTGTTTAGTGTCCCAACTTTTTTGGAATCTGGTTTGTAAACCACGGGATACAGAGTGTGAGACAAAAGTAGCAGCTTATAGTCCGGAAAATACGGTAAGTTCAGTCGATGTCAAAGCGTCTTTCACAGTTCCATAACACAGATCCAGACATCCCGTAAGTCGAGCGGGACACGTCACATATTGATAAAATTACCAAGAATGGAAAAATGTCCACGTCTGAGGTGGTTAAAATCTCCCATGAGAAGATTTGGAGCATCCAGGGAGATCTTCTGAAACCACTGCACGGTGTTCAGCAAATCTTGAGTAGCTAGGTCCGTATTAGTCTTAGAGTGAATGTAAACGTGTGATAAAAAGCTGTGGGAATTCCCTTGGCAGATAAAACAGACTGAGAGACACCAACAAAAGTTCAACATCTGGAGTACACGTCATCTCCCTGATGACAATAGTGTTACACCACTTTTTATTCACATAAAGGCACAGTCTTCTACAGAGTGATTTACCTGTCACTGTGGAGTCTGTCCTAACGAATGAGCTCACTGGTGTCCTGCAGCAGGAGGAGGAACTTCCGGCCATACTCTAGTTGCGTCTGGTACACAGAGTCCTTCAAAAAAAGAGACAAAAAAGTGACAAAAGGACATAAAGGCTGCACAGCTGCAGAAAGAAAAGCTTTGCAGAGAGTGTTGAAGGCTGCACAGAAGTCTGTTGGAGTCAGCCTCCCCACCATCACAGACATCTACACACATGCAGGAGGGCCACCTGCATCATGATGGACCCCACTCACCCAGCACAAACACTTTTTGCCACGCTCCCCTCAGGAAGGAGGTTGAGGAGCATTAAGTGTAGAACCACTAGATTGAGGAACAGCTTCTACCCTGAGGCTGTTAGACTCATGAATCTCTAACTAGAATAATCACTGTGAAAAGTCACATCATGTTACTGCTGATCTGTTTCAATGTTTCTGCTGATCCGTTTCATGTTGATGTGTTCATACGTGCTCATCTGCTCACACAGACTCATGCTCATGTTCATGCTGCTGTTCGACATAATGTTTTTATGCTATTAGTGCTTAGTGTATATTTAGTTGATGTTTTCCTTAGTTCATATCTTAGATGTTATCATTGTTTTTGGTTTTTTTACATTTTATTGTTGGATGTAACTGGGACCCTGTGTACATAATTTCGTCCCATCACATGTACCACATGTGGTGCGAACGACAATAAAGAATCTCTGACTCTAAAGTATGCCACACATTGGTAAGTTTTTGTTTTCTACCATACACAGAAAATGATAAAAATTAAAAAAACAGGAACAAAGTGTATTAGCACAAAACATACATAGAAGCATACACTCTACTACTGTTGCCTGTCTCCATTACATGTGCCACCCACTCTCTACCTGACTAACCTAGACACCACAGTGGTTTAGCTACACCTGGAATCATGCTTTATGTGCTGAATGTTCCCCAGGTAAACCTGTGGTGGTCAATACAGGAGCGATGAGGATGTCCGTCCCAGTCGTCCCAGCACAGACAGTAAAACAGGTAACCTTTGAACTTTTTAACTGCTGCTAACTCAGAGCTGTGTTAAACTTAGTTTTTATTACCTGCAGGTGGCGCCTAAACCTTTGACATCAGCATCACAAATAGTCACCACCACCCAGACCCAGCAACGCCTGATCATGCCTGCAACACCGCTTTCCCAAATTCAGCCTGGCTTCACCAACCTACCCCCAGGCACAGTCCTGGCACCAGCTCCTGGAGGCAGCAATGTAGGGTACACCGTTGTTCCAGCACAATATGTCACACAGGTTAGTGATATTTTCTTTTGTCTTATTTCATTTTATCAACATTTAGCCATCCCTTTTATGAGTGTGTTGAACTGGTTCTGTTGTTTTTACCATGTGTTTTTAGATCCAGCAGTCACCGTTTGTGACTCTTGCCAGTAGCTCTAGTTTCCCTCCATCTGGCGCTGTCCAGTCTCAGGCCAAACTGCCTCTCAATGGGTAAGAGTGGATAAAAACATTCATAAAGACTAAGCATTTCTGTTGTCTGTAACAATCTTAAAAAAAATTAATATGTGAAATCAACAGTTATGAATAACAAACAATCCCACCCCTCATGAACCTACCCCTAACAAATAGGAAGAAAAAAATCAAGATTTTTTTTCTAAGTAATAAAGCAAGTAAGAAAACAAAGATATGTGAATACACATACACTGTTATACACATGCTCACACACACTCACAAACACATGTCAAAACCCATCACTGTGGTGCTCAGTCCAGAATATGACGTTGTGTACCTTCAACAGCGGGCAGAAAAGAATTCCAGATTATTTCCAATGATACAGCCTTACCGGCCTGATTTTTTCCCCCCCCTGTTTAAGAAAGTAAAGGACCTCTCTAATCTAGCCTGTATTTGTGTGTGGCGCTTCAGATTTACAATTTTATTAGCTGTCATTAGCTAGTATTTGCTTCCTGTACAGCAAATTTGTGAACACTATTAAGTCCTTTTTAGCAGGAGAGAGCAAGTCAAGTAGGCTGTACTCTGAACAAGACTCTTAAGATATTAGGAGATATGTTTTTTTTCCTTTTACATTAGAAAAATGTTTAAAAAAAAAAACTAATTATGTAAAACATTTTCATGTAGGACAGCTTCAAAACGAGTAATTTGCGGTAGTCTTTTTCCATTGTTGACACAGATGGGACACTGTCAAATCCTTTTTTCAAGGTTGACTTTAGGACAGTAATTTCAATGTAGAATCCCATCATTCCATGAAACTGCCCATCATAGATTGAAAGTCTGTATCGTCTTTAAAACCTCCCAACAAATGTCATCAGCAATGAAATCAGCAGTACAAACCCTCTCCCTCCTTTACAATATTTAACATGGTGGAAAGAATTCAAAAGGTTAAAAATAAAATGTGTAAGAGAAGCGTAGCTAGCATCTTAGCTAGCGCATCTGTGTTGCACGCTACTAGCTTAACGCTATGTCAGTGCTGGCAGTTGTCAACGGGAGGGGGAGGGGGTATGTGGATGGGGGTGGAGCTGTTGGTGAAGGACATTTCAGTAGGTAGTGCACTTCATTCTGTTGACAGGGCAGGGCGCCCTATTTGGATAACGGTAGGGGAAAAAAACTTGTTTGAGCACAGTGAAGTAGTTGTAATCAGAATCAGAATAAGATTTATTGTCTTTGCACAATTAAGTACAGTAAAATTGCATTCCTTACAACCGTCCTAAAGATGGACGAGGTGTACAGGGGCTGCAGCTTCTAAGAAGCGCTGCCCTTTTTGCTTAGATGGATAAAGGGAAAACACATAAGGAGAGAGAGGTATTAAAAAAATATCTCTCATACCGTGTCCGTAACAGGGCACAGTTTAAGGTGTCAAAAAAATCTACCACAGCAAGCAACGTAGATAGACACAATACAAATGCATGAACGACAAAATGGTGAGATTTGTTCATGAATACTTCCAGATAGTTTCCATAGTCTTGATAAGATTAACATCTTACCAACAGTGTCTCTCATCCGGTATGAGTATCCATAGTCCTGATAAGATGTTAGTGTCTCTCAGCCGGTACAGCTCTGATAAGCTGTAACGGTTATGTGAGATCAAGATTTTGGGGTGCCAGCCAGGTCTCTCTCCTGACATATAAGAGGTTTAATTATATATGGTTACCCTTGAACACAAAACCTGTACAAAGGATGTAAAACACAGAAGTGATTAACACCCTTAACACTAAATGAAAAAAATCCAACAACCACAACATTTCTCCACAAGTTTCAAATGTAATTACCCACACACACAAAAAAATAATGCTTCATACAATAATCTAAAAAAGGTAAATCTGGTCCTCTGGACATTCAAAAAAGTTTCAGCCTGCCTCAGCAATGCCAAACCACCACCTTCCAACATCAGTAGAGAGGAGAGGGATGTACTCACCTCTCTTAGCAAGGACAAAAACATCATAATTCTCCCAGCAGACAAAGGAAGGTGCATAGTGATTTTGAACCAGAAAGACTATCATGAGAAAGTTATGACACTCCTTAGTGACTTAACCACTTATGAACCTCTGAAAAGAGATCCAGGAAGTGGTTACAAGAAGAAGTTGATAGGTTGCCTGAAAATTTTGGAACAGGACAAAGCCATTGACTGTTTTCTGTACCACAGACAGTACCCAGGGAAGGCCACACCTAGTCTGTATGGTTTACCTAAAATCCACAAACAAGGTGTACCTTTAAGACCAATTGTTAGCATGATTAACTCAGTCACTTACAATGTTTCCAAATATCTGGCGTCTGTACTCATCCCTTTAGTTGGCAGCTCAGAACACCACATACAGAACACCATGGACTTTGTGGATAAGGTGAGGGATGTCATCATGGAGACTGATGAAACAATGGTCTCTCTTGATGTCACATCACTCTTTACGTGCATTTCTGTTGATGATGCAGTAGAGGTGGTCAGTTTAAAATTAAAATCAGACACCACTCTGAGCAGCAGGACCACACTTTCCACAGAACAACTGTGTCAACTCTTGAAACTGTGCCTGCAGTCAACCTACTTCACATATGGGGAGCAATATTATAGGCAGAAACATGGGTGTGCTATGGGGTCTCCAGTTTCTCCTATTGTTGCCAACCTGTGCATGGAGGAGGTAGAAAAGAGAGCCTTGACGTCCTTTTCAGGGACACCACCAAGTCATTGGTTCAGGTATGTTGACGACACCTGGGTTAAAATTAAATCTCAGGAAGTCCAACATTTTACTGACCACATCAACTCTGTGGATAAATACATCAAGTTCACACGAGAAGATGTAAAAAATGGCAGGCTGGCTTTCTTGGACTGTGAAGTCTCAGTCTCTGATAGAGGACATTTGCAAACTGAGGTGTACCGCAAACCCACCCACACTAGGGCATTAACAGAGTATTCGAGTAATCTACACATCGATTGCTAGGACATCTATCGAGGTTAAAAATTTAACATCGAGTATCCGTAGTGACGTCATATTATGTGACCACCGTATGACCGTAGGGGGCGGTGTTGCACTGTTGCAGGTCACAGAGTATGGTGTAACACCGGGTCCAATCCACCAAACAAGTTTCGGTTTAAGTTTCGTTTTTGACGTGCTGCATGTTTCTTCACGTTTGCAGTTTAATAATAATAACTAATAGTTTAGTAATAGTCCAGAGGACCAGATTGAACTTTTTTGGATTTTTCTACCTGGATTATTGAGCATGCATCAGGAAACTAATAGTTTATTTTTTCCTGTGACTTATTTGCAGTATGATAAATGGTGGGAGCATAATATATGCTCCCAATGTTTTGTTGGTCTTTTTTTTTTGTAAATAAAAACCTTTTTTTGCGGTTTTATTTATTTATTTATTTATTTTTGTATCTTGAGATCTATGACGTCATCAACTACTCGAGTTCTACTCGGGTTTTGTTATGTTAATGTCGAGTTTAAAAATTATATACTCGTTCAACCCCTAACCCACACAGACCAGTATTTGCAGTTTGACTCCCATCACCCTTTGGAGCACAAGTTAGGAGTCATCAGGACTCTGTACCACAGAGCAGACAGCGTCCCCACTAACTCAGGAGCCAGGCAGCAGGAGAAATCCTACACAAGACAGGCTCTAGAGCAATGTGGATATCCTAACTGGGCCTTCCTGAAGAGAAGAAACCCAAACAGGACTCCAGTCAGCCATCAGGTGAAAAGGAGGAACTCTGACCCAGACCAGTGGTCATTCCATATGTTTAGGGAGTATCAGAGAAACTAAGACGTTTATTTTCTAAACATAACGTCCCAGTGGCTTTTAAACCCCAAAATACATTACGGCAAAGACTGGTTCATCCCAAAGATCCAGTCCCCTGGCACTAACGTAATAAAAGTATGCTGTTCAGTATCAGGAGGGCTGTGATCAGTCTTACATCAGGGAAACTAAACAACCACTGGCCAAAAGGATGGCCCAGCACAGAAGATCAACATCATCAAGCCAGGACTCTGCGGTCTACACTCATCTCCAGGCCAGCGGTCACTCTTTCAGGGATGAAGATGTTCACATCCTGGATAGAGGATCAATGGTTTGAAAGAAGAGTAAAGGAGGCCATCTTTGTCAAAAGAAACAGTCCATCATTAAACAGGGGTGGAGGCCTCCGGGTTCAACTGTCCCCCTCTTACAATGCTGTGATTGCTAGGATCACTCAACCCCCTGTGAATAGTAAACAGCCATCAGTGTGCTAATGATCCATTGTTAGGCTGATGGTCCTTCTTGATCATGTGAGCAGCTGGTTTTGGTTGTCAGCAGCAAAACTGGTTGATCCACTCTGAGAAGGTGCTATTTATAAGACTGAGCTGAATGCAGCACCTCAGACTGAGGAAGTCTTTTGGATGAAAGACGAAACATTTCTACATTTGTCTTTTGTTTTGTTTTGTTTTGTTTTTTGAATGTCCAGAGGACCAGATTTAACTTTTAGATTTTTCTACCTGGATTATTGAGCATGCATCAGGATATTCATACAATAATAATTTGTCTTGAATGTTTTTGAATAATAATCAATCCTTTAACTTAAAAGGGACATGGCTCAAGCATTATTCAGTCACTTAATTTCAGTCCCAAACACTGCACAGAGGCACAACCAGCACCGTGCTCAGCGGCACCCAAAGTTCATCAACGTGCAGCCACAACCGCAGATATTAACAGGTTGGAAATGTATTTACACACAAAAAAAACAATAGTTCATCCAATAATCAATTATTTAACTTAAAGAGGGATGTGGCTCGAGCGTTAGTCAGTTAATTAATTTCTGTCCCAAACAGTGCTCGGCAGCACACAAAGTTTAACAACCTGCAGCAGCAACCACCGATATTAACAGGTTGGTTTGTTTCACTCACGCTACCGATGCTTGGGAGAGACACTCAATCCAAAGAGAAACGCCTCTGTTGTGAGCCAGACAAGCCCTCAGGTGATCCAAGACCCGCTGTCCGACGGTCCGACGGTTCCAGACGCGCTATCAGATGACACACCCCTCCCTGCTCTGCCGCGCTTCATTTCATAACTCTCAAAAAGGGCGTTTCAACCGGAAACAGCTGGGCTTGGCTGCCAGCGTGTCGGAGGATGATTGCTCCAAAAAAGAAATGGGTGGATGAAATATGTGCATAATATTTATTGTTGAGTGATCAGGCTGTCACAAAGCGTTCACAGAAGTTCGCGGGGGTGCTGGGGTGCGGCGGGTGGATAAAGCAGAGCTTCTTTATTTACGTATCCACCAGGAGCAATATGAGATAAGTTGGCCTTCCAAGGCTGAACGGGGAGGACAGATTCAGATAAACAAGAATTGTTTGGGCAGGCAGACTGTGATTCCTGTCTGCCTTCAGTTCTGCTGGAATTCTCAATGGCGAATCCAAACAGCCAGATTTGTGGACATTCCGCCGGTCTGTGCTTTAGCTTTTCTCCAGGGTCGAGTCCATCACTCCGGCGAGTTCCAAGGAGCTCGCAAAACATTTCAGTCTGAGAGCTCAAAGCACAAATTAATCCTTCACATGAGGTTGGCAGCTTTACCATGGCCAAAACTGCTGCCAACGTCTTCCTAATTTGTCAATATCCTAGGTATCTGCCGATCCAAAAAACAGAAACCTTATCATAAATCCAATTACGTACATGTCTTATCCATGACATACCCAGCTGCGTGCATCCGCTTGTGCATGAGGGCTCTCCTGCACCCTGTTGCTTGAAAAAAAAAATTATCAATTGCGTTGAGAGACCAGCTGACCAGATCCATAATAATTTACAATTCAGAAGATGTGTAAAGAGAGGCTCTGATACGCAGGACAAAGAGCAAAAGCAGGAAGAAGGCAGGAGAGGGAAGAAAAGCGTCCATCTTGTTCGAGGGCAAGTGAGAAAAAAATAAATCACATTAAATACTTTCCGGAGCATAAAATGTCTTTTACGGATAAATCCAGTTCAATGTAGAGATATAATTGAAGATATGGTATGGATGTACCATACGCATCTTAGAGTATCATAAGATGTACTCTAAGCATCTAGCTGGTAACTTTGCAGAAACATGATAATATTCAAATGAGTACAGCCATTTACAATTTGTAATTTACTGTACCAGTGGAGTAACATTCACAAAATAATCCACCAGATTATTTCAGTATTTAAACTTGAAATAATCACTGTTGTGACTGTTAGGGTATCCACTGGGATGCAGGAATTTGTCTAAGTAGATGAGCCTGTAGTTTACTCACAAAATTACATCATGAATTGTGTAAAAATTCAGTGATGTGCCACTGTATGGCGTGATAGAATATTAGACTTGCAAAGACAATTATTCTTATGTATTTGTTTGTTTTAAAATTGCTCATAAAATGTTTAAATGCAATGTGTATTTAAATGCAATAATCTGGCTATTTTCTCAAGATTTTCTCTCATAATCTCCCACTTTATAAAAGCCTTTGGTTTTCAGTTTATTTCTGCTGCTGCTCTACAGTACGAGTTAAAACATGCTCTATTGTACGACATATTCCAGTCAGAGGTTAATTTGCACACAGACATGTTTTAAACTTGAAATAAACACAGTTGTGACTTTTTTCCTGAACTTATTTGTCCTGTTTAACTTGAACATGGATATGAAATCCTTTGTGACTTTAAAAGGATAACATTTTAAGGGCAAAGTTACTTTAACAATTTGTTTTATTTTGAAGCAGTCTGTGCATTGTGCAACAAGAGTTATCAATAAGTACTTAATTTGTTTACACTGACACTTTGCCTGATTGGTCACTAATCACACCTTACTATTTTAACCTGATAAAATAAAGAAGTTAGTTTAAGTGATTTGTAAATATAATTTTAGGACACAGGGTAACTGATTTCGAGTCAAAAACATGCAAGTGCCATTGTCATTATTAATCTTCACATTAATGGTTATTGGCTAAATGCCATAAATAATCTTGATTATTCTTTTTGCCAATATCACCCAACTCTAATATTGACTGAAGCATGATACAAGACCACAAGTTACATTTACAGAGTGAAACTGATGAAAGCTGCTTCTTATTAACAGCAATAAAGATCATTGTGAGCATAGATATGATAAATACGCAAGCAAAAAAAGTAGAGGAACTCTTTCATAAAGTCATCAATGACTCTGCGTTTCCCGTAGGTCTTTACTCACAACAGCCACCAACCCCGAGGGGGCGGTTGTCTGTAAAGAATGTTTCGGTTAGCAGGACGCTCAGTTCGGTTGACAAGTGGTCTCGTGACCTCCATGGATAACGGTAAAGGAAACACGGGCTTTGTTCAACTTTGATTAAAGAGCAGAAAAGGTGGACCAAAAAAATAGTCCACCCTGCAGTTGTAGTACAGTAGTCTAAAACATACAGTATGTAGACTGGATGGGCAAACTTCCATGACCCCTCAAGGACCCTAGTGAGGGTACAGGATTGGTCCAGGGTTCCACAGCCAGGATGGAACCTGCATAGTTTCTCCTGGACCTGAACAACCAACGATCTGACTCACTTCTCCAGTACCCTTGAATAGACCTTACCAGGGAAGTTAAGCAGAGTGATGCCCCTGTAATTGGCGCACACCCTCCAGTAGAGTTGCATTCGGGCCCAAAAATTCTGATCCGACCCGGCCCCAGCCCGTAGTCATCAGTTCCAAACCCCACCTGACCCGACGAATTAACAGTAATTACAGATCCAAACCCAGAAAAAACCTTGACATTTTTTATTAAGCTTTGACTGCTTATATTGTTATTAACGTTCGGCCGACACGCCGCTGAATAAAAGAGGCAGAAGATTGAAGCTGAGGGGGTGTTTGTCCTTTCATGGCTGTCAAAGCGCATTAAATCCCTGTTTCTGCCTGCTGACATGTCTGCTTTGGGATCTCACCTGGGTCGTCGGCTGCACGCATCCACTGAGTGCAGCGGCTGAATCCATTTGGGTGATGGACTGGCAGTATAGTCCCATCTGAAGCTTAACTGAAATTTATTTTACCTCTTTCAGCTCACAGTCAAATGGCCACATGTGGCTGGTAAATTAGTGGCAAGCCATGTTTCCATATAATTGGATCGCGGCTGATCCACTGACGCAATCAAAAGCCCGGCACCGACCCGGCCCGCCCATCCAGCACATTATCATGACGAGCCGGGCTTTGGTACCGGGTTAGAAATGACGGCTCTACCCTCGGGTCCCCCTTCTTTAAGAGGGGAACCACCACCCCAGTCTGCCAATCCAGTGGCACTGCCCCAGATGTCTATTCGATGTTGCAAAGGCGTATCAACCAAGACAGCCCCACAACATCCAGAGCCTTAAGGAAATCAGGGCTGATCTCATTCACCAACGGAGCCCTGTCGCTGCGGCGCTTTATAACTACCTCGGTGACCTCAGCCACGTTTATGGGCGGACCACCCTCTAAGTCCCCCGACTCAGCTTCCTCCAAGGAAGATGTGCCGGTGGGATTGAGAAGGTCTGAGAAGTTTTCCTTCCACCTCCTGACGGCATCACTGGTTGGAGTCAACAGCACCCCACCTGCACCGAACACAGTGTTAGTAAAGAGCTGGCATGGTTTGCCAGAAAAGCCAATTGCAATTGCCCCCGACAGCATAGCTCCTAGGATCATTCAGGTACACAAACTCCTCCACCAAGATAAAGGTGGCGATTCAAGGAAATACTATTTATGTCATGAGTAGTCAAAATGGATCATCGTCTTAGTTCAGAGCATATATATGTACAAGAGCCACTTTTATGACATACTGGTAAATGTACATCAGGACAATTAGCAACTTGTCATGAGAATTAAAAACATTTTACATGGAAACAAATTAGTGTTCTTCATTCTAGTTCTTACTTGATTACTGTTCAGTTACAGTACAGAAAACACTCATTTCCAAAACTACAAACATTCATTATTCACATCCCTCATTGTGATGGGGGACATGGACATACCACTTATTTTATCTAGTCTTTTTTTGTTTGTTTTTCTTTTCTTTCTGCCATACACAAATAATGTGGATGAACTAACAGCCCGCAGAACCACCATTAAATTTCCTATCATTTTTAAATGTGAACCTTTTGAGTAACTAGCCTGTAATAAGTGAATGTGAGTTTTGTTTTCATTTTATTTCCAGTTAATCCAAGTAATCATGTGAAATACTGCTTCACAGTGTGTCAGCTGCAGAAACGACCTCACGACCAAGAAAACCATGCAACTGCACCAAATCACAGTGTCTCAAGCTGTAAGTTTAACCGACAGTGTTTGATTAAAGTTAATCATACTGATAAATGTGTAGCTTTAGACATTGTTTTGTAGGTAATGAGCAGTCACAAAGCCAAGTGTTCAGTGTACCGATGTTCAGATTATCTGGTGTGAACCTCCAAGATTAGTCTAGTTGATCTTTACTCCTTTGTTTTTGGAAAGTTTTAAGAATTGCTCTGTCCTTCAGATACTGTGACTGCTTTGCTAATGGGGAGTTCTGCAACAATTGTAACTGCAATAACTGCTTCAATAACCTGGAACATGAAACTGAACGTCTCAAAGCCATCAAGGTGGGTTGGAGGTTCAGTTTGTGGGTTCTCTGATCACACTTTGACAGGTGATTAAAGGTGAAAATGTGTTTCAGCAGACGTGTCTAGACAGAAATCCAGAAGCGTTCAAACCTAAAATTGGTAAAGGCAAAGAAGGAGAGTCGGACCGCCGGCACAGCAAAGGCTGCAACTGCAAACGTTCAGGCTGCCTGAAGAATTACTGCGAGTGTTATGAGGTGGGTTCACCATCAGTCTGGCTTCTGCCAGGTGCCACTTTTACAAGAGACCTCATCTTTTCAGCTTGTTTTTCTCTTTTGTTTATTTATTTTTGTCATCTGTTCTTTGTTTTTTTTACCCTCGAAGGCTAAGATTATGTGCTCGTCCATTTGTAAGTGCGCCGGCTGCAAAAACTTTGAGGAGAGCCCCGAGAGGAAAACACTGATGCATTTGGCTGATGCAGCAGAAGTGAGGGTGCAGCAGCAGACCGCAGCCAAGACCAAACTGTCCTCACAGATATCAGACCTACTGATGCGGACCACACCGGTTATGTCCAGTGGAGGCGGGAGGTAGCGCAAACATTTCAACACAAAATACAAGCTTAATGAAAATAATAAAAGTGGTTTAAAATCGTGCATGTAATACAACCAGAGCCACAAGCTTTAAGACAGACAGGACTTGGTTTTCTCATGCAATGAGATCTCACCAGACTGAAACACCACATGATTCCCCATCAAGTTGAAAACCATCTTGCAAACCCTGTAAAAACTCTAGATTTTGTATGAAGTATTCACGTTAAATTTTTTGTATGGCAGCAATTTGGACAGACATGTCAGTCGCGTCCCTCAAGATGTGTTGTGAAGCAGGTTTTCCACATCTCCTGCAGCCTCTATAGCTATGTATTTATTTTTTTTCTATGCATGAAAAAGGTTCCATTTGAAAATTGTGTTTCCAAGTCAAAATTCAAGATGGCAGCCATCATGTATATAGTAAACCGGCCATCTTTAGCCATCATCTAACAACTCTTGAATTAAAACAAGATGATGAGTTACAACATTTAATTTCCCTTTGAGATTAATCAAGTATTTTTCAATTCAATTCAATTTGAGGAAATTGTGCTTTCCAGTTTTTATATTGATTAAAATTTAGTTTCTTCAAATGGTTGAGGTGGCCAAAAATGAATTTATGGGTGTCTATCTAGGCCACCATTGGCCACCCCCTGGCTCCACCATTGCGCCTGGTGCTGGATAAAATTGCTCCCTTCACTCTGCACTGCCTCAGACAAGAGAAAAAAAAAACCTCTGTTCTTCTCCACAGTGTCACTCCTACCCACTTGAATATCTTGCACCAAAAATATTCAGGTTTCTTGCGTTCTCTGTTCAATTGCAGTTCAGGAAAGATCCCTCAGAGATGGGGGACATCAACGTACTGCTTGAAGCCTTTACCTTTGCCTTACCTTTAACATGCAGCTCAATTATTTTGTTTCTGCGCTCCTAAGAGCTATGTCCTCATCTTTCTGTGGTCCATGTTCAGTGTGGCATGATACCAAACAGCCCTGTGACCACTTTCCCCCTATATCTTGATATAGGCAGGAAATAGTGTTCATTGCCTATAATACAGTTTTGTGAGCTGTGCACACAAAATAGATTATTTTCAAAAACTGTTTGTTCAAAATGTAACTACACAACTTTCTGGTTACTTGGTGGCAAATGGTCAGAATTCAGTCAAACTGCAGCAGAAATTTAGTCCCCTCACCCATTTGTTTTTACAATTCGGATTTTCCAGCTAGTCTTCATCAGTTGCATCTTAGTGAGATGCTATCTGCCTCCATAATTATATTTACTCTGCACAGTGGTCCAGCAAGGGGAGATAAAAATACTCTGCTCCTGATGGAATAAGAATGAATCTAAGATCTTGTTCCTTTTTTTCCTCTGCAGGCTGCCATACACATTTGTTACAAAGGAGGTGCTTGAAGCAACGTGCGAGTGTTTGCTTGAACAGGCCAAAAAATCTGAACAGACTCGTCAACCCCAGGCCGAAGCAGAGAGGATGATCCTGGAAGAGTTCGGACACTGTCTTATGAGTATAATCAGCTCTGCAGGGAAAGTCAAAACAGACTGTGCTTCCATCAACTGCTAGTAGTCTCCAAACACAACCCCTTCAGCTCAGCTGCAGGGGACCTGAAAGACATGGGTTTACTTTGCACTCAGCCTCTCGGGTCAGAATAACTTTCAGAACATCTCACACTTCAGGGAGGAAGTGGTCAGCTGGAAAAAGAAATGTTTGGATGTTCATATGAAAACAAAGCAAAAATGAAATGAACCGAGTACACTGCCCTGAAGAACCTGCCTTCAAAGGTGCCGCAGCAGTCGACCAAATTTCTGCTCTGCACACAAAAAACTGAAGTGTTTGTGTTGAACAGAAAGGTCAGCATTTCCTTTAAAGCGATAGTTACGCGGTTTTTAAAGAGATGTTCTGTTAATATTTATCATTAGTAAATAACTGACAGAACATCACTTGAGATTTGACCAGACTATCCTGTTGAGTTCTTGTCAGATCCTTTCCTCGGACTTTTCCTCTGTTTAATTTTATTTTTTTCTATTCTGTTATGAAGTTAAAGAAGAAAAAAAAAAACGGCTGTAATTTTATCGTCATCAAATTATTTGTGCTTAAAGTAGATGTGTATTTTTTTTATATTTATTTTGACAAATATTTGTAATCAATGTGAGCTCTCTGATATTGTAAGGCTTCTAGCTCTACACTTGTTAATTATTAACCAAGGCTAGACTATGTTATTTTAATGAAAGTGGATTGTTATTTGGTTTTATACTAAAAGTATATGTAACATAAATGCACACACAGAGCACTCCACAGAACCATTGAACATGGCCGCATTGATGGAATTGGACATTTCTCTTGGTGCTGTTTTATGCTCTATTTTCTTAATTGTACATTAAAAACAGCATGATCTGGAAGAAGAACTCGCCTGTTTTACTTGTTCAGAGATGTTCTTGATGATGGCATAAACATGCAGGTTAGGTTTGTCTTCAGGCCCAGGCCTCCCTTGCAAGAGATCTGTCATCTCAGTGGGATTTGCCTGGTTAATTAAAGGTAAAATTAAAAATTTCAAAGGTAGAAACTAATGTTTGATACACTGAGCACATAACCACAAGTAAAAAGCACCGCCTGCTCTGTTTAAACTGAGATGAAGTTCAGGTGTACTGTATATCAAACCTCGAGATCCTGAACAAATGTTTGCCTTTTATTTGGCTCGTGATTCCTACTTCACTAAACTCAGCTGCATTTTTTCATTTCCACTTTGATGATAAACCTCTCCACCACTTTAACTTGATGTTTCAGTTTTTACTGTTGTCATTTTGTGATGTTAAACAGTTATCTGTCATATCTAAATGAAACTTTAAGAATCTTTCCATCCTGGAATGTCTCAATTGGGACATTGTCTCTATATACAGCCAGGTGCTGGTCATAAAATTAGAATATTGTGAAAAGATTCAATATTGAAGAAGCTCCACTCTCTAATCAGCTAATTAACTCAAAACACTTGCAAAGGCCTTTAAATGGTCTCTCTGTCTAGTTCTGTAGGCTACACAATCATGGGAACACAACGGCTCAGTGATTAGCACTGTTGCCTCGCAGCAAAAAGGTCCTGGGTTCAATCCCGGTTGGACCTGGGGTCTTTCTGTGTGGAGTTTGCATGTTCTTCTTGTGTTTGCATGGGTTTTCTCCAGGTACTCCAGTTTCCTCCCACAGACCAAAAACATGCATGTTAGGCTGCCTTCAGCCCCAGGCCTCCCTTGCAAAAGAGATCTGTGATCTCAATGGGATTTGCCTGGTTAAATGAAGGTTAATAATAATAATAACAAATAATGGGGAAGACTGCCGACTTGACAGTTGTGCAAAAGACGACCATTGACACCTTGCATAAGGAGAGCAAGACACTAAAGGCCATTGCTTAAGAGGCTGGCTGTTCACAGAGCTCTGTGTCCAAGCACATTAATAGAGAGGCAAAAGGAAGGAAAAGATGTGGTAGAAAAAAGTGTACAAGCAATAGGGATAACCGCACCCTGGAGAGAACTGTGAAACAAAACCCATTCCAAAATGTGGGGAAGATTCACAAAGAGTGGAATTGCAGCTGGAGTCAGTGCTTCAAGAACCACCATGCTTAGACATGCAAGACGAGGGTTTCAGCTGACGCATTCTTTGTGTCAAGCCACTTGAACAAGAGACAGCGTTAGAAGCATCTCACCTGGGCTAAAGACAAAAAGGACTGGACTGCTGCTGAGTGGTCCAAAGTTATGTTCTTTGATGAAAGTAATTTTTGCATTTCCTTTGGAAATCAAGGTCCCAGAGTCTGGAGGAAGAGAAGAGAGGCACAGAATCCATGTTGCTTGAGGTCCAGTGTCAAGTTTCCACAATCAGTGATGGTTTGGGGTGCCATGTCATCTGCTGGTGTTGGATCACTGTGCTTTCTGAGGTCCAAGGTCAACACAGCGGTCTACCAGGAAGTTTCAGAGCACTTCATGCTTCCAGCTGCTGACCAACTTTATGGAGATGCAGATTTCATTTTCCAACAGGACTTGTCACCTGAACACAGTGCCAAAGCTACCAGTACCTGGTTTAAGGACCATGGCAGCCCTGTTCTTAATTGGCCTGCAAACTTGCCTGACCTTAACCCCATAGAAAATTTATGGGGTATTCTGAAGAGGAAGATGCAATACACCAGACCCAACAATTCAAAAGAGCTGAAGGCCACTATCAGAGCAACCTGGGCTCTCAGAACACCTGAGCAGTGACACAGACTGATCGACTCCATGCCACACTGCATCGCTGCAGTAATCCAGGCAAAAGGAACCCCAACTAAGTACTGAGTGCTGTACATGCTCATGCTTTTCATGTTCATACTTTTCAGTTGGCCAACATTTCTAAAAATCTTTTTTTAATTGGTCTTAAGTAATATTCTAATTTTCTGAGATATTTAATTTGGGGGTTTTCATTAGTTGTCAGTTATAATCATCAACATTAAAAGAAATAAACATTTAAAATATATCAGTCTGTGTGTAATGAATGAATATAATATACAAGTTTCACTTTTTGAATGGAATTACTGAAGAAAAAAAATATCATGATATTCTAATTTTATGACCAACATCCGTAAGTCTTTGTTTGGACCGACCAGATCATTGTACTTCTTTCCAGAAGGTGGCAGCAGTGTGACAGTCAACAGATGTTTCATAGTTTCAGGTTGAGTCTCTCAAAAGAGTTCACACATATATATTTCTTAAATTTTAACATGTACTGCTTAACAAATATAAATGGAGACATATTTTTGGCATAGTTTATATGATACTTTGTTTATAAGTAAGTATCTACAAAGCAAGTTCCACACACATTTAATACCAGCGCAGTAATGAACAACGTGGTAATATTTGTTTAAATCACGACCTAGTATAGCGATTATCATTTTGCTCTTTGACAGAAAAACATATGGCCCACTGGTGTCATCAAGAGGTCAAAGGGAGGAACACATGTTGGTTTCTTAGCACTTTTCGATAGGATACCAGAGGACGGGGTTACTTTTTTCGGCACAACACCTGCGAGCAGCACGTAGTTTCTTCCCCGGAAGTTGACGTTCTTCTTCGTGGGAGGAGGCTGTTGCTTAGTGCCACGTTGATGGAGACAGTGAGGACGTGGAAATCTGTTCTGAGTCCACAGCCGGGACCCGGTAACCCGCCTCTCTACTCCTAAATCCTCGAGCAGAACCGAAAGGGATCTCCCGCGGCCGGCCGGACGTTGTGTGTATTCGTGTGCCCCCGCTGTATGTTTGCGTTCACGTGAGGACCGACGAAGAAGAAAAGGTAAACGGGATTAGATGTTTGTGTTTAAATCTCATCTGATCTGGTCCTGTCCCGGACAACATCCTGCATCTTCTTCAGTTCATGTTCTTGTCGTAGCTCATCTTTCAACTGCGACACCTGTCTACGTCAGGTTGTTTTGATCAGGCGGATCGATGATCACCCGCCGCCCTTCATGTTAAACAGATCATCTGTTGTTGCTGCAGGCTCACCTCATGTGTTGTGTCTCAAAGTCATCCCCATCAGGCTTTAACTCACTCTCTGTAAAACTAGTTAAAACCTATTTGTTTAGTTTTGTATATGCTGATCAGCTGAGGTGGCCATATTAATTATTATTATTATTATTATACCTTTATTTTATATGAAAAGAAAAACCGTAGATATTAAAAACCTAGTTTTTGCTGGGAGCCCTGGCCAAGATGGGTAGCAGCAAGTACCATTAAGTTACATAATTCAACATTAAATTACAAAAGGAGATAAACATATGAAATGTATTGCATTACTACAAACTAAAAGTAACATGTACATGTAATGGAATTAAGCACATATCTCTTTAGTATCGAGTTAAAAGCACTCAGAGATATCAAGTCTGTTAATTTTCAGTCATTTTGCAACATATTCTATGCAAAAGGTGCAGAATAAACAAAACCCATTATAGTACAGGAACATGGAAGTGAAAGCAAAAAAAGTCACATGAAAAGAAAGAGTAAGGAACAGCACTTTTCTGTACTTACATGTGTACGAAGGCAGTAGTCCAAGTATTGCCTTATATATAAAAACAAGCCAATGACTTTGTTCTCGTAGTCAGAGCAGGCCTACATGAGATTATAACTCAGTGATGTGTCTGTAGTTGGTGATGAAACTGAGAGCAACATGATTGGTATCAATAATCAAAATGTTAAAAGTGAGGCATCAATCAAGACACCAAGGTAACTTGTGAGCCACTTCTACGTATTTTATTTCCCTCCGAGGTGGTCACTGAGTGGGTTGTTTGCAATTTATTTCTGGATTTAGAAAACAGTATGTTTAGTCTTGTATGCATTAAGAGCAAGCTTCATTTGCAGTAATGAGTTCTGTCGTGTCACAACTTTCTGCCAAGAATCAACTGCCTGAGCAAGAGTTGATGCACAACAGTCAATATCTGTGTCATCAGCATAAAAATATAAATTAACATCTGACACATTCAGATCCAGACAATTTATACAGATCCTGAATAAGAGGGGACCAAGTACTGAACCCTGTGACACTCCCTTGTGGATAGTAACAAATTCAGAACACAGACCATCACATTTAATGCACCAAATTTGTTCTTGAGGTAACCAGCCATCTTTTGTTATACATGTACAGTACATCCAGTAATTATTTTCTGAAATTTTACGTTTAGGTCCTTTCTGTGGTTCAGGAGATATTTTGCTAACAGTAAACAGATTTAGATAAAAATGTCTCACAGTATGAGCTTTTAGAGCATGTGTCTTATCTACAACCACATACCTTATTAACATCTGTAACGTTTTTAAGGTTATTTGGCTGGGGTGGCCATCTTGAATTAGGGTTCAAATGTTCATAAATGGTAGATTTAAATTTAATGATTGCTTTCTTAAAGTTTCTTTACACTCTGGTCTATTGGTTTCATTTAGCTAGCATCACTGACACACAGACAGAGGCGGGGGCACCAACAATAATCACTTGAAGAAAGAATATTCAGAACTTGTTCTCTTTCTAAAATAACTGTCTGGTTTGGTCCATAACATCTAAGACCCGAAACACACCAGTTCATAAGCTCGTTTACAGGTAACATGTTACAAACTCATTGATTCGTGACAATGAATAAGGATGTAAATATTTCTAGTGAAAGTTTTACATTTCAGTAATTCCTTTCTGTCCAAGCTCTCTTATGACGCTTGGCTCGTTTCCTTTAATCTTTCTTTCCGTCTTTTTGCGAAAGACAGCTCTGCTTCTTTGGCCTCTCAGTCACAACATCTTCCCATCTGAGGAGTGCATCACCAAGTTTCAGAATGTCCTTCATGGTATCTTTGTATCTAAGGAAAGGGTGGCCAGTCCTTTCAGAACAATCTACGAGTTTTCCAGAGAGCAGCTTCTTGACTGTATGGTCAACAGGCGGGTGTGCAACATGTCCCACCCAGTGCAGTCTATTAATGTGGTCTTAGTGTTCTCGGACCGGGCACGATCCAGAACGTCATCTTTATAATGGTCGTCCCATCTGAACTTGAGAATAGATCTAATGTGGCGTTGTTGGTAGTAAAATGCTGAAGTGTGGCTTGCATGCAGCATCACTGCTATAACACACAGATTATACACTTTAGGTTTAGTTTCTGGTGTTAATTAAACTCTTTTTCTAGAGGCATCTTGAATATGTAACACATTAAATTTGCTCGACATGGTGTAAAACAGTGTGCCTTAGAGAGAAACCTCTGCCCAGGAGACTCAAAGACAAAGTCCAACATTAAAGACGACATGACGTTACATTTACATGCAGGTGGGATCATTCCGTTGGCTTTAGCTATTTTAGCAGCAGCATTCCTTCTGTAACGTAGAACCTGATAAGGTTTCTTACAAGGACAGCTTTTACTATGAAGTGAGACGTTAATCTGTGATTATTCTGTTATCAGGGATTGTTCTGATGACTGAGATTATTCCTAAAGAGTTTAAAAAGCATCCTGAATGTAGAATGTGTGCACTGTGTAATATTTACTGTGTTTATGTATTTCTTTATTTTAGAATGAAACTTAAAGAGATCAGCCGCTCAGCCATCCAGAGCTGGAGTCCTGCACAGCACCACCCAGTCTACCTGGCCACAGGTACAGACCTGCAGCACCAACATGCTGCTGCTACTCTTTGTTCCAACGCAGCTTTAGGTGGCGTTCGTGAAGCAAGGAACCTGAACTGAAATGAACTCTGGGGGTGTCGGCTGAGTCACGTTTCATGTCCAGTGGAAGAAATGAGACTAACAAGCTCGTTTAGATACTGCAGTGTGAGGAATCATTGTCCTAAACTCCAGAATCATTCTCCTGAGTTCAGGACAATGATTGCCAGGTTGAGTGTCTTTACAAAGAGGAAAACATTCTTCTAAACATGGTCAGATTCAAGGGCTGAAAAAGAGTTAAAGATCAAAATGAATATAGAGTTTTGGTTAAAGGCGACATTGAAAGATCCAAGAAAGTCTAAGAAACTAAACAAACTGAGATAAATTCTTTCAACCTATCATACATGTTAGTCTCATTGAGCCACGACAACTCATTTTCAAGAGAGACCTGTTTAGGGTGCAGATGGTGGTTAAGGGCCTTGCTCAAGGGCCCAGAGTGGGGCGAATGAGAGTGGGGGCAGGTGTGGGTGCTTCACCTACCCCACCCACACTTTTTGATGTTTGTACCGGGACTTGAACCGGCGATCTGATCACAGGCCCACCTTCTCTAACCTCTGCGCCACCACTCCCCTAAAGGTACATAGAGAGGTCAAGGTCGAGAGCTTCAAATCTTTTTACAAGATATTCCAGGAAACAGGAGCGGAGTAGGAGAAGGCGAAGGTCCTTTTGCCAAGTTCAGTCCTCACTGAGGGAACACTGCAGGTAATAATGTCCTGAGAGCGCACGCTGTAGCTGCACTCACACAGAGACATGTAGGAGGAGATGTATGAAGGCAGCAAACCAAGAAGTGATTTAAAGATGAAAATGTACCAGTGAGAGTCTGTGAAGTTAATGGTGAAATGCTTAAAGCTGAATAACGTCACAGGAAAAAAATATATATATTTTGGTACAAATTAAAACAAGTAAAACACAAGCTAAAAGCAGCAGAATGGTACATAAATGAGCAAAACCATAGATAAAACACAAAAGGAACGGAGTGCTAGCTAAAAGCTAAAATAAGCAAAAAAAAAAGCTAATATTAACACAACAATAGCACTAACGTCCTCTGTCGCCACGGCAGATTTGCATCATTTTGAACATGGTTCTGTCATCTGTAAAAATGGATGGGGGTGTTTTGTTGTGTTTGTCTTGTTAAAGCCATCTAATGTGACTGCTGGTGGAATTGAACCCCCAACTCTCCAATTGGAGGTTGACTGCTCTAAACACTCAGCTACAACTGCCCCTAGATTTACTTATTATTAAACATATGTGTTCGCACATGACCAGCTCACTGCAGCCGGGAGACATACCAGAACTGATACAGCCCCTCCTCCTGCACTGCGCCCGACCTCCCGGTACTTTTTTATCCAACTTTGTATTAAATATTTATGTGTTCGGTGCGTCGTCATCATCGAACCTTTGTGACCTGAGCACACAACCGAACTTCAAAGGGAGAGACGTGCACCGCTGTGGGAGTGCACAGTCTGTTGAGTTTCCCTCACGATTAGAGGCTGCTTCTGCTGCTTTAGTTCATCTAAAAAAAATTAAGGCTAAAAGATGAATATTTATGTGCCCCAGATTTTAACAGAGATGCGTGTCTCTGTTTGAACTTTAAGTATTTACCCAAAAATCACAGTTTTCTCTGTGAGAGTCAGTTTCAGGTGTTTGCAGTTTATCGTGATAAATGTAATTTAATAAATGATCAAATATGTTAAAATTAATTGTATTAAATAACTACATTAGCTGAAATATTATGAATATAATCCTTTTGAACTAATCATTTTAGGGGAGAATCTGCCAGTCTGTAAATGGTAAATGGACTGTACTTATATAGAGTCTTTCTATCTTAAGATACTCAAAGCTCTTTACACTACAATCTGTGCCTCATTTACCCATTCATACAGCACTCTACTAGATCTCTACAAAGCTAATTGAACAAATCATTCTAAAGAAACTAATCAGAGCTTTATCACATTCATTCACCGATGGGACACACATCAGAGGCAGTGAGGGGTTCAGTGTCTTGCCCATGGACACTTCAACATGTGACTGCTGGTGGATTCGAACCCCCAACTCTCGCATTGGAGGACGACTGCTCTAACCACTCAGCCACAACCGCCCCCCCAAAATATGTAAAAATATAAAATAAAATAAAGTTTACACTTTTCAAAGGACTTTCTGTTATATTTTTCCAAAATAGATCTGACAAGACTAAAAGTAAACGACAAAAAAGTTGTTCAAAACCGTCTTTTCCTTCAGAATGTTGTTGGTCTTGATGAAAGTCTCCTTACAACTTCAACGCTTCATTAGAGAAAACTATACTTTGTACTTTTACTGAAGTCATGTACACAGTGTACTGTGTTTTTTACTGGGGGTGGGGTTTGGGTATCCCGGCCAGAGGCCTTTCTTGGTGGAGTTTGCATGTTCTCTCTGTGCATGTGTGGGTTTTCTTCGGGTACTCCAGTTTCCTCCCACAGACCAAAAACATGCATGTTAGACTGATTGGTAACTCTAAATTGTCCCTAGGTGTGAGTGAGAGAGTGAATGGTTGTTTGTCTCCATGTGTCCCTGTGATGGACTGGAGAGTGGAGACCTGTCCATAGTGTACCCCGCCCCTCGCACAGTGATTGCTGGACATGGGCACCAGTGACCCCCCCACAACTCGAAAAGGAAGAAGCGGGTAAAGATGATGGATGGATGGATGGATGGATGGATGCATGGATGGATGGATGGATGCATGGATGGATGGATGGATGGGGTTTGACCTCTAGGTGAAGGAAAACAAATTCAGTCAAAATATTTGTTTCTGCTTTAATCTATGCAATTGCTGAAATAAGCAAAACAAAGATGCTGCTTATATCAGCAAAACAGTAGCTAAGAGCTTAAAGAAGCTAAACAGAAGCTGAAAGTAGCAAAAAGGTAGCTAAAAGCTAATAGTAGCTTAAGAGTATCTAATGCCACTTTACCATTGGTAGGTGCAGCTCCACTTGGCTCTCCTCTTCCCGGTTCTTCTCAGGTGGAGGTGATTTGCCACTGCAGTGGAGGTTGACCTGTTTCCCTGCTCTGTGGGCCGGGTCGTCAACTGGTCTTTTTGTGTTCAAGCCACTCCTCCTGTAATGGTCCTTAATCGCTCTATAATCAGACTTGAATTTCTTTAGCTTATCCCGGCACTACTTATAAGTCCAGGTGTAGCTGCTTCACCATCATCTCTGATATCTCTCAGTAAATGCACTCATTTCTTGTGGTGCCGTCCGTCAACACAACGAGGAAGTGGAGGTTCAGATGTAGTTTTGTTGAGTGGGTTATCCGGTGCTGTAGCACCTTTGACCAATCAATGGCTGCTGTCTGCTAACATCAAAATCATCCCATCAGAGCTGCCCGCTTGGAACCTCAAACAAGGTGGTCCCATAAACTGGACTGACTGAGGGTGGGTACCGGCACTGCACAGACCCTTAACTGGTGCTGTGTTGTGCAGAGCTGGAGAGATAAGACTGGCAAATCGCCATAAAAGTAAGAAAATGGGAGCTAAAAGCTAATAGTAGCAGAACAGTAGCTAAAATTAAAAAATGGCATAAGAAGAGAAAAATGGAGCACCTTTCCTGAAGCTGATTTAAAAGAGAACAATGCTTGTGAAGAAACTCAAAAGATCTGAACAGACAAGTTTCAAGTTTAATATTTTGAAAAGTGTAAAAGCTACAAAATAAAACTAAAAGCACAGTTTTGCTAATGGAGCCAAAGGTTCTGAAAGACCAAACGACTAAAGTTAAAATGGCTCAAAGTCAAATGTTCAGTGTGAATGGTGACTGAACCGCTCCGGTCCTTTAATCTGCAGGAACATCAGCCCAACAGCTGGATGCCTCCTTCAGCACCAGCGCCTCTCTGGAGTTCTTCGAGCTGGACCTGTCTGAGCCGTCTTTGGACATGAAGTTGTGCGGCAGCTTCTCCTCTGCTCACCGGTAGAAACTGAAAGCGTCTTCTGTTTCATGCTGCTGTTACCTTCACACACACGTTAGACCTTTTTGTTCTCCTTTCTCCTCACAGGTATCACAAACTGGTGTGGGGTCCTTCCAGTTTAGACACCCAGGGACACCCGTCCAGTGTCCTGATCACTGGAGGGGAGAACGGTAACGTCATTCTGTATGACCCTGCAAGGATCATGGCCGGAGAGAGTGATGATGTCATTGTTGCTGAGAGTGACAGACACACAGGTCCGGTCAGGGCTCTAGACGTCAACCCATTCCAGGTCCGACCCGCTCAGTACTGATTAATAAAAGTGGTTTAAAGAATTTGCACTAAACGGTTTGTGTTGTTCTTCTGTTTCTCAGACGAACCTGTTTGCATCAGGAGGAAGCGAGTCAGAAATTTATATTTGGGATATGAATAACTTTGCCTCTCCGATGACACCGGGACCCAAAACACAGGTGCTTTTTTAATCCTTTTACGTTTCTATGATTCTTAACTGACTTACTTCAAAAGTGACTCTGTGAAACACTGCCAGGATTTAGACTTGCAATCATCTTTGTGTTTGTAACTCGAGAAAAAGCCTTGCTGTGAAAATGCAGCGTGAAGCTAAGCGCTGAATGACTGTTAAAGCAAAACTATAAGAACAATATCTGTAATGAGAGAAACGTCATTTCATGTGAATGTTTATAGTGGAAGGATTTCTGCTGAAAGCTGCTGAAATGGTTTCATTGCCAAACTGTTAATTTGAGTTGAATTTGAACAGCCAACATTTGCTGAAAGCATGAAAATAAAAGCAGAAAGCAGCAGAAAAACAATAGAAATCTGTAGAAAAACTGAATAGAACAGAAATTAGCAGAAAATGCTGAAATACGCAGAGAGAGGCTGAACCAGCCACTCGGGAGCACAAGCCAGTGCATCTCTTGTGCTAGTCCCAAGCCCGGGTAAATTGTGAGAGTTGTGTCAGGAAGGGCATTCGACATAAAACACTTTTTCCAAAACTAACATCCAATTTCATTGAAGCGACACCACACCGGATCGATCAAGGCCTGAATTAACAATGACTGCCACCGCTGCTTTTGACAGACAGGGTGGCGGCGGAAATTGTGCTACTGTTAGTTGAAGACCAAAAGAAGGGAAACGTGTCAGGAGACGGAGAAGAGGAAAGTCAAGAACATTGGACTGAGAGTAGCAACTTTGAACATAGGGACATAACGGGCAAAGGTAGAGAGCTGACTGACATGATGCAGAGAAGGAAGGTAGATGTTTTGTGTCCAGTAGACCATGTGGAAGTGCAGCAAGGCTCACAGCATTGTAGCAGGGTTTAAACTGTTTTACCATGGTGTGGATAGAAAGAGAAATGGAGTAAGGGGGTCTTGAAGGAGGAGTTAGCAAAGAATGTAGTAGAGGTGAAAAGCGTGTCAGATAGGGTGATGTGTCTGAAGGTAGAAGTAGAAGGTCTGATGCTAAATGTTGTCAGTAGTTATGATCCATAGATTGGATGTGATGTAGAGGAGAAAGATAAATTTTGGAAGGATCTACAGTGGTGCTTGAAAGTTTGTGAACCCTTTAGAATTTTCTATATTTCCAGCCTTCTCACTAACTTTTTGAGTAGGAGGCTAACAGCTCAGAGTAGGAAGCTGGAGTCATATCCTAACATCAACACATAAAAGCAGAGAAGAAACCCAAACAGGACTCCAGTCAGCCAACAGGTGAAAAGGAGGAACCCAGACCCAGACCAGTGGTCATTCCATATGTTGAGGGAGTATCAGAGAAACTGAGACGTTTATTTTCTAAACATAACGTCCCAGTGGCTTTTAAACCCCAAAATACATTATGGCAAAGACTGGTTCATCCCAAAGATCCAGTTCCCCGGCACAAACAGAGTAATGTTGTATATGCTGTTCAGTGTCAGGAGGGCTGTGATCAGTCTTACATCGGGGAAACAAAACAGCCACTGGCCAAAAGGATGGCCCAGCACAGAAGATCAACATCATCAGGCCAGGACTCTACGGTCTACACTCATCTCCAGGCCAGCGGTCACTCTTTCAGGGATGAAGATGTTCACATCCTGGATAGAGAGGAACGATGGTTTGAGAGAGGAGTAAAGGAGGCCATCTTTGTGAAAAGAAATCGTCCATCATTAAACAGGGGTGGAGGCCTACGTGTTCAACTGTCCCCCTCTTACAAAGCTGTGATTGCTAGTATCACTCAGCCCTCTGTGAATAGTAAACAGCCATCAGTGTGCTAATGATCCATTGTTAGGCTGATGGTCCTTCTTGAGCATGTGATCAGCTGGTTTTGGTTGTCAGCAGCAAAACTGGTTGATCCACTCTGAGAAGGTGCTATTTAAGAGACTGAGCTGAATACAGCACCTCAGACTGAGGAAGTCTCTCAGACGAGAGACGAAACGTTTCTACATTTTTTGTTGTTTTGCTTTGTTTTGGGTTTTTTTGAATGTCCAGAGGACCAGATTTAACTTTTTTAGATTTTTCTACCTGGATTATTGAGCATGTATCAGGATATCAACACATACTGTAGATGTTCTGTGCTGCAAAAATGTTAGTGAACGCCGACTGGTTTAACAATGATCACTGATGAAAATGTCTTATCTGCACCAGAGGAAGGAAGAGTTATGAAATCATAATCAGCAGCAGCTGTCAATCAATTTTTGTAGAGCAAGATAACATACATTTTCAAGAATCTAACAAAGAAATATTTCACAATTAATTTATCTTTATTTTGTGTCTTGCAGCAGTCCCAGCTTGCATGAAACTCAAAAACTTAACTTTGTTTTCTGTAACTTTTGACAAGATTGTGAATTCTGATTGACATAAAAAAAATCAACATCATATTGTGTACATTGGAATAAAATGGTTTTAATCCTTTAACTTTGACTATTCGTGTTCCTCGGGGAAAATCAACCACCTTATTTTACTGCTTAGTAACACTATTTTTAGGGAAGGATAAGGTGGCGGCGGTGGTGTCATATTAGCTTGGGCTCCCTCCAGTACTGCTTGAAAACTGCCTTTCGTGAAGCTATTCTCGCTGCCTTTGTGTTGGATGCTCCAGTATTTAACATTGCTGTGTGATTGATACAGCAAAGCCAAAGAATGGCAACAAAATTGAAGAAATATAAGATTACGGGTTCCATGGTCGCTGGGCCCAACATCGCCTCGGGCGATGGTACTTCTAAAACCGAGGACTCGGCTCCTTCCCCACCAAGGAAGTCGGACATTCTGGCTTCAATAAAAGCAGAAATTTAAGCTGTAATTAAATCGGAAATTAAAGCCATCCTCGCATAGGATCTCACCTCTATTAAGGGTGAACTTCAAGCAGTGAGAGCGGAGGTGGCTAACGGCACCACGGCACTCCGAGCAGAAATGGATCAGGTTAAACTGAATGTTAAAGATGTTGATAATGGACTGTCCACCTGGTTGGATGAGGTTGTGGCTCTGCACAGCACCGTGGCGGAACTGAAAGATGAGATAAATGGGATGAAAAAGAAATGCAAGGACGTGGAGGGATGTATGAGAAGGTGCAACGTGAAGATCTTAGGTGTCCCAGAGAGGCCGGAATTAAGCTCCATCACAGATGTAGCTAATCTGCTCATGGAGGTCCTGTAGCTGGGCAAGACACCACTGACTGCTTGCACCAGATGCCGGGCGGGAAGAAGTCGGGTGATAAGCTGAGAGTTATTGTAGCTAAACTGCACTACTATCAAGACTGCCTGGAAATATTACAGCATGCGCCCTGTCGTGGCCCACTCCGCTTCAAGGAATCACCGATCATCATTACAACGGATTATGCAGCGAGTGCATGTGTCCAGTTAACCACTGTTTTTGTCTGTCCAAACAGGTCTCACTTGTAAATGAGTCTTCGAGGCTCAGTGTGATTTCTATGTTTAAATAAAGGCTGAATGAGTGTGGCCAAGGCTCAGGGGGTGTTCACAGATGTGGGGAGGCTTCTTTGTGGCCGGTGAGATGTTCACTATGGGCTACTTTTTCCTGCGCTGCTTTGCATCACTCATGGTGGGGTGGGCAAAGAGTTTGTGAACTAAGATAAAGCCATGGTCTATGTCATAAAAATTATTGTTTCAGCAACGGGTAGCAAGGACGGGAAAAAACATAGGGCTGGCTTCCCTTAATCAGCATTCTTTTCAAGTTAGATTGGCCTACACCAGTTGTTTATTTGTTCCGCTTCATATTTAGTTATATTTTTAAATGTTTTATGCCTTGTTACATGGAGAACTTTTTTCTTCAGGTTTATGTTTGACTAAATATTTGGCTGTCTGGACCTTTGATGGGGTTATGTCCTACATTTCAGTTATATTGGAAGGTGACTGCACTAACTAACTCCAGTAATATTGTGTATGCTGTTCAGTGTCAGGAGGGCTGTGATCAGTCTTATATCGGGGAAACTAAACAGCTACTGGCCAAAAGGATGGCCCAGCACAGAAGATCAACATCATCAGGCCAGGACTCTGTGGTCTACACTCATCTCCAGGCCAGCGGTCACTCTTTCAGGGATGAAGATGTTCACATCCTGGACAGAGAGGAACGATGGTTTGATAGACGAGTAAAGGAGGCCATCTTTGTGAAAAGAAATCGTCCATCATTAAACAGGGGTGGAGGCCTCCGGGTTCAACTGTCCCCCTCTTACAATGCTGTTATTGCTAGTATCACTCAGCCCTCTGTGAACAGTAAACAGCCATCAGTGTGCTAATGATCCATTGTTAGGCTGATGGTCCTTCTTGACCATGTGAGCAGCTGGTTTTGGTTGTCAGCAGCAAACTGGTTGATCCACTCTGAGAAGGTGCTATTTAAGAGACTGAGCTGAATACAGCACCTCAGACTGAGGAAGTTTTTTGGATGAAAGACGAAACGTATCTACATTTTTTTTTTTTTGCTTTGTTTTGTTTTTTTGAATTTCCAAAGGACCAGATTGAACTTTTTTTTAGATATAACAGAAATCCATAGTGATTATTCATTCACATAGCAAAGTCAGTAGTCAAAAGTCCCCTTATTACTTGAAAGGTGTTACAGTTGATTGTTGGTTGATGTCCAAGGGGCAAAACAGTCCAATCATATTGTGATTCCTTTGCTCCAATGAGATGAACCAAAGAATTATAAATCCGTAAAGCTCCGATGAGCAAAAACAGAAAATTATAAATCCATAAGCTCCATTGAGGAAAAATAGAAATATATATTCTCACTCTGTTGAGCCATAGTAAGGTAAGGTGATTAGATTCAGGGGAAGACTTTTGCTGCTCCGAGACCCCAGAGAACACTTAAAAACCCAAGATCGTTACTGGACTTGATGAGCCGTCAGCCGGCATCTAGAAGTTCACCTCGTGTTCCCAGAATCCTCCGGAGTGAAATATCAAAAACTAAGTTTAATTGGGAAAAAAAAAAAAATTCAAAAACTAAAGTGTGTTCAAAAACTCCATCTAACAAAAGGGAGAAAAATCAAAAAATACAAAGGCAACTTCAGACTCCATAATGCAGCAAAAATGGGGAAACTCTCCTAAAATGTATTAATCAAGACTTTAAAAATACCAAATTTAGTATAATGCATAAATCCCCATAACTCAAAATGTTGTCAAGAGTCCTAATGTTTTACTGGTGTAAATAGCTATAAGTGATTTTGATTATTTAATTTTATTTTAGGACAGCTATTAGTATGTGTCATACCATCTCTTCTCGAAGACCCCTTGTCAAAGGGGCTCCTTGACTGATGAAGCTGGTGACAATCATCCCTCGTTTTTTTTTTAAGAATATTTCATACTGCATTCAATAAAATCCAGTCTTGGAAGCTTGAATTGGCTTTCAGGTCCGGGCTGAGCTGAGAAAAAATATTCTTCTCTTCGGATTTTCAAATTCCCTTTAGTTACTGAATGCGTCAATGAACTGTCCTTTAAAACTCTCCAAGTGCTTCAGCCCCGATCGTTAATGCTGAGCCTTTTTTTACATTTGTCTGCTCATTGCGTAATTTCTGAATAGCAACAGCCTTGGATACAGACTATTCTATAATGTCAGATCACATGTTCAACGTCACTGTCATTTCTAAAATTATCTTTGACTGCCACTAGGTCTGTTTTCCTGTTTTTCTGCAGAGAACTTCCTCTTTTTCTGAGCGAGTCTCTTCAATTAAGGTCACTTGTTCCTGTTTTCTGCAGATAACCTCCTCTTTTTCTACAGATAACTTCCTCTTTTTCCTCTTACTGGCCTGGCCATCTGTTCAGACTTCCATTTCCCGTGGTGACTTGACACACGAACATTAAGCTGTGAACTTGACCTTTTGACCATTGATTCACATCACTTTTTAGTCAGTAACATTAATTCATTTACTCTTAATCATCCATCCATCCATCCATCCATCCATCCATCCATCCATCCATCCATTATCTTTACCCGTTTATTCCATTTTGGGTCACGGGGGTCGCTGGTGCCCATGTCCAGCAATCACTGTGCGAGGGGCGGGGTACACCCTGGACGGGTCGCAAGTCCATCACAGGGCCACATAGAGACAAACGAGACAAACAACCATTCACTTTCTCACTCACACCTAGGGACAATTTAGAGTTACCAATCAGCCTAACATGCATGTTTTTGGTCTGTGGGAGGAAACCGGAGCACCCAGAGAAAACCCACGCATGCACGGAGAGAACATGCAAACTCCACCCAGAAAGGCCCCTGGACCGGGGTTTGAACCAAGGACCTTCTCGCTGAGAGGCAGCAGCTCTACCAGTTGCACCACCGTGCTGCCCATTTACTCTTAATCATTTAAAGTTAATTCACTTTCAATATAAGCTTTCTCTATAATCTCTTAATTTAAGCTCTATAATGTCATCAGCATTGATTGATTAATTCTTAATTCATAGGATTTCACACTCTTTAAACATAGTACAGGTCGTTCTCAAAAAATTAGCATATTGTGATAAAGGTCATTATTTTCCATAATGTAATGATAAAAATGAAACTTTCATATATTTCAGATTCATTGCACACCAACTGAAATATTTCAGGTCTTTAATTGCTTTAATACGGATGATTATGGCATACAGCTCATGAAAACCCAAAATGCCTGTCCCAAAAAATTAGCATATTTCATCCCACCAATGAAAGACAAGTGTTTTTAATACAAAAAACGCCAACCTTCAAATAATCATGTTCAGTTATGCACTCAATACTTGGTCGGGAATCCTTTTGCATGAATGACTGCTTCAATGCGGCGTGGCATGGAGGCATTCAGCCTCTGGCACTGCTGAGGTGTTATGGAGGCCCAGGATGCTTCGATAGCGGCCTTAAGCTCATCCAGAGTGTTGGGTCTTGCGTCTTTCAACTTTCTCTTCACAATATCCCACAGGTTCTCTATGGGGTTCAGGTCAGGAGAGTTGGCAGGCCAATTGAGCACAGTAATACCATGGTCAGTAAACCATTTACCAGTGGTTTTGGAACTGTGAGCAGGTGCCAGGTCGTGCTGAAAAATGAAATCTTCATCTCCATAAAGCTTTTCAGCAGATGGAAGCATGAAGTGCTCCAAAATCTCCTGATAGCTAGCTGCATTGACCCCGCCCTTGATAAAACACAGTGGACCAACACCAGCAGCTGACATGGCACCCCAGACCATCACTGACTGTGGGTGCTTCACACTGGACTTCTGGCATTTTGGCATTTCCTTCTCCCCAGTCTTCCTCCAGACTCTGGCACCTTGATTTCCGACTGACATGCAAAATTTGCTTTCATCCGAAAAAAGTACTTTGGACCACTGAGCAACAGTCCAGTGCTGCTTCTCTGTAGCCCAGGTCAGGCGCTTCTGCCGCTGTTTCTGGTTCAAAAGTGGCTTGACCTGGGGAATGCGGCAACTGTAGCCCATTTCCTGCACATGCCTGTGCACGGTGGCTCTGGATGTTTCTACTCCAGACTCAGTCCACTGCTTCCACAGGTCCCCCAAGGTCTAGAATCGGCCCTTCTCCACAATCCTCCTCAGGGTCCGGTCACCTCTTCTCGTTGTGCAGCGTTTTCTGCCACACTTTTCCCTTCCCACAGACTTCCCACTGAGGTGCCTTGATACAGTACTCTGGGAACAGCCTATTGGTTCAGCAATTTCTTTCTGTGTCTTACCCTCTTGCTTGAGGGTGTCAATGATGACCTTCTGGACAGCAGTCAGGTCAGCAGTCTTACCCATGATTGCGGTTTTGAGTAATGAACAAGGCTGGGAGTTTTTAAAAGCCTCAGGAATCTTTTGCAGGTGTTTAGAGTTACGTCGTTGATTCAGATGGTTAGGTTAATAGCTTGTTTAGACAAAATTTTCATTATATGCTAATTTTTTGGGACAGGCATTTTGGGTTTTCATGAGCTGTATGCCATAATCATCAGTATTAAAACAATTAAAGACCTGAAATATTTCAGTTGGTGTGCAATGAATCTGAAAGATATGAAAGTTTAATTTTTTTCATTACATTATGGAAAATAATGACCTTTATCACAATATGCTAATTTTTTGAGAAGGACCTGTACATTAACTGTTGCATACTATTGTGTAGTTATTTTTTTCAATAAATAAACCTTTCTTGCTTTTTCAGAAGTTTCAGTAAATAATCCTTTCTTGCTTTTTCAGAAGTTTTAGTAAGTACATTTTTCTTGCTTTTTCAGAAGTTTTAATAAATAAACCTTTCTTGCTTTTTCAGAACACATACTCAGGGATCTGTGGTTTGTACTACTCTTAACCTTATTTTAGGTCATGAGAACTGACTTTGTACCTCACCTGAAATGCACATCACTTGACAATGTGTTGTGAATGACTCTCAGCTACTACCTGCATTTAAACTGCATGTTTTTTCCCCTCGGTGGACACAGTTTACGACTTCTAGTTAAGACAGTTTGTGTTTTTGTGTTAAAGCCTCAAGAGGACATCAGCTATGTGGCGTGGAACAGACAGGTTCAACACATCCTGGCCTCATCCAGCCCGAGCGGCCGAACCTCCGTGTGGGACCTGCGAAAAAATGACCTCATTATCAAAGTTAGCGATCACAGCAATAGAGTAAGTTATTGATCAGGCATGTACAGTACATAAACCATGGACTGAAAAACTAAAGGAGACAGGTTCATTCTCTCCTCTCGTATGCTCGTTTTAGATGCATTGTTCTGGGCTGGCCTGGAACCCAGAGGTGGCCACTCAGCTGATTCTGGCCTCCGAGGACGACCGGTTGCCAGTCATCCAGATGTGGGACCTGCGTTTTGCTACCTCCCCTCTCAAGATTTTAGAGCATCACACACGGTAAACTCATCTGGCTATTGTGATCCTAACCTAACCAGCAGAAGGGTGGGTTAGGTTTTATTTTTATATAAGGATTATGCATCGCTCAGGTACAATGTCTGGTCTTTGCGGTTTGTTGAACACACAACTTTTAATTTTTCACAAAAGACCCAACGTTGGTCCAGGTGTATGGGGGAGCACACATGGGTGAGGGGCTGGGTTTGTATTCAGTGAGGGAGAAAGAGAGGGCACGTGAAGTTGGTGGCACAGACGGGAGAAAAGTGGCCGAAGGCAGGGACCTTGGCGCTCTGACTCTGGCTTACCAAAGCTGACTCTTGGGACATGGAAGGTAACCTCTCTGGCAGGGAAGGAGCCTGAGCTTGTGCGTGAGGTTGAGGGGTATGGACTAGATATAGTTGGGCTCACCTCGACACACAGCATGGGCTCTGGAACTGATCTCCTCGAGAGGGGCTGGACCTTATTCCACTCTGGAGTTGCCCATGGTGAGAGGCGTTGAGCTGGAGTGGGTCTACTTGTAGCCCCCCGACTTGGTGCCTGTGTGTTGGAGTTTTCCCCGGTAGATGAGAGGGTGTCTTCCCTTCGCCTTCGGGTGGGGGAGACAGGTTCTGACTGTTGTTTGTGCCTATGCACCGAACTGCAGTTCAAAGTATCTGGCCTTCTTGGAGTCCTTGGTAGGGGTGCTGGAAGGTGCTCCAGCTGGGGACTCCTTTATTCTGCTGGGGGACTTCAATGCCCACGTGGGTAATGACAGTTTGACCTGGAGGGGCGTGATTGGGAGGAACGGCCTCTCTGATCTGAACCCGAGCGGTGGTCTGTTGTTGGACTTCTGTGCTAGTCATAGTTTGTCCATCACAAACACCATGTTCGAACATAAGGGTGTCCTTAAGTTCACTTGGCACCAGGACACCCTAGGTTGTAGATCGATGATAGACTTTATAGTCGTGTCATCTGATTTGCGGCCGTTTGTTTTGGACACTCAGGTGAAGAGAGGAGCTGAGCTGTCAACTGATCACCACCTGGTAGTGAGTTGGATCAGATGGCGTTGGAAGATGCTGGACAGACCGGGTAGACCCAAACGTGTAGTGAGGGTTTGCTGGGAACGCCTGGCAGAAGAACCCGCCAGAGAGATCTTCAACTCACACTTCTGGTAGAGCTTTAACCACATCCCAGCTGAGGTGGGGGACATTGAGTCTGAGTGGGCCATGTTCCGCACCTCACTTGTTGAGGTAGCTCCCTTGAGCTGTGGACGCAATGTTGTCGGTGCTTCTCGCAGTGGCCATCTATGAACTCGGTGGTGGACACCCACCCCGGGTTAGGGAGGTTGTCAAGCTGAAGAAGGAGTCCTATCAGGCCTTGTTGGCCAGTGGGACTCCAGAGGCAGCTGAGGAGTACCGGGGGGCCAAGCGGTGTGCAGCCTTGGCTGTTGCTGAGGCAAAAGCTCGGATGTGGGAGGAATTCGGTGAGACCTTGGATAGAGACTCTCAGTTGGCTCTGAGGAGATTTTGGCAAACTATCAGGCGGCTGAGGAGAGGAAAGCATCACTTTATTAACATTGTGTTCCATGAAGGTGGGGTGCTGTTGACCTCAACCGGTGATGTTGTCGGGAGGTGGAAGGAATACGTCTCAGACCTTCTCAATCCCACCAGCTTCTTCCATGGAAGAAGCTGAGTCGGGGGACTTTGGGGTTGATCCGTCCATAACCGTGGCTGAGGCCGCCGAGGTAGTTAAAAAGCTACGAGGCGGCAGGGCTCCGGGAGTGGATGAGATTCACCCTTGTTTCCTTAAGGCTCTGGATGTTGTGGGGCTGTCTTGGCTGACACGCATTTGCCACATCACGTGGACATCGGGGGCAGTGCTACTGGATTGGCAGACTGGGGTGGTGGTTCCCCTCTTCAAAAAGGGGGACCAGAGGGTGTGCTCCAATTATAGGGGCATCACTCTCCTTAGCCTCCCTGGCAAGGTCTATTCAGTGGTACTGGAGAAGCGAGTCCGATCGTTTGTCGAACGTCAGATCCAGGAGGAACAATGTGGGTTCCGTCCTGGCCGTGGAACACTGGATCAGCTCTTTACGCTCACTAGGGTCCTTGAGGGGTCATGGGCGTTTGCCCATCCAGTCTACATGTGTTTTGTGGACTTGGAGAAGGCATTCGGCCATGTTCCTCAGTGTACACTGCGGGGGGTGCTCCGTTTGTTTGGGATTGGAGGCCCGTTTATACGGGCTGTTCAGTCCCTATACAAGTGGTGCGAGAGTTTGGTTCGCATTGCCGGCAGTAAGACGGACCCCTTCAGGGTCGGAGTTGGACTCCGCCAGGGCTGCCTGTTGTCACCGATTCTGTTCAAAACTTTTATGGAGAGAATTTCTTGGTGCAGCCAGCTGGTGGAGGGTTTCCGGTTCGGTGACCTCAGGATTCCATCTCTGCTCTTTGCAGATGATGTGGTCCTGTTGGCGTCATCGTGCCGTGATCTTCAGCTCTCACTGGAGAGGTTTGCAGCTGAGTGTGAAGCGGCTGGGATGAGAATCAGCACCTCCAAATCTGAGGCCATGGTCCTCAACTGGAAAAGGGTGGATTGCTCTCTTCAGGTTGAGGGTGAGGTTCTGCCTCAAGTGGAGGAGTTCAATTATCTCAGGGTTTTGTTCACGAGTGAGGGAAGAATGGAGCGTGAGATTGACAGACGGATTGGTGTAGCATCTGCAGTATTGCAGACTTTGTACTGGTCTGTTGTGGTGAAGAGAGAGCTGAGCTGTAAGACAAAGTTCTCTATTTACCTGTCAGTCTATGTTTCTACCCTCACCTATGGTCATGAGCTCTGGGTAGTGACCGAAAGAATGAGATTGCGGATACAGGTGGTTGAAATTAGTTTTCTTCACAGGGTAGCTGGACTCTCCCTTAGAGATAGGGTGAGAAGTTCAGTTATCCAGGAGAGACTCTGAGTAGAACCGCTACTTCTCCACGTCGAGAGAGGCCAAATGAGGTGGTTCGGGCATCTGTTAAGAATGCCCTCTGGGCGCCTCCCTAGGGGGGTGCTTCGGGCATGTCCAACTGGGTGGAGACCCCAGGGAAGACCCAGGACACGCTGGGGAGACTTTGTCTCTCGGTTGGCCTGGAAACGCCTTGGAATCCTCCCAGAAGAGCTGGAAGAGGTGGCTGTGGAAAGAGATGTCTAGGCCTCCCTGCTCAAGCTGCTGCCCCCGTGACCCGACTTCGGAATAAGCGGAAGATGATGATGGATGGATGGATGGATGGATTGATGGATGGATGGATTATAACTTGATGTAGAAATATCTGTATATACTGTACAATATAGTCCCATCTTATAACGCATATGAAATTATCTCAATATTTTTAAAATATCGCCTTGTGACTGTGACTTTCCTTCCCTCCATTGACTACAGTGACATTATTTACATAACGCTCCTACAAGCACCCTGCAGATGTTGGACACTGTCTATCATGGTGCATTAAGATTCATAACTGGCTGTAACTACCATACCCACCATTGCACTCTGTATTCACTGGTTAACTGCTCATCTTTAACTTCATGCAGACTCTCTCACTTGTACATTTTCATCTTTAAATCACTTCTTGGTCTGTTGCCTTCATACATCTCCTCCTACATGTCTCTGCGTGAGTACAGCTACAACGTGCGCTCTCAGGACATTATTACATGCAGTGTCCCCTCACTGAGGACTGAACTAGGCAAAAGGGCCTTCTCCTACTCTGCTTCTGTTCCCTGGAATATCTTGCATAAAGATCTGAAGCTCTCGACCTTGGCCTCTCTAAGTGGCTTCAAACATCTATTAAGTTTCTGGGAAAAAATAAAGCAGACATGTTCCTGTTTTTAGTTTTCTACAGCTCCTTACAACCCAGCTGATTATTTGTTAAATTTTCATTCAAATACCATTTTATTTCCACTTGTTAAAAAAAAAAAAAAAAAGCTCTACTGCTGTCTCTGATCCTGTAAATCTTGACTTTCTTCAGCCATATCTTAAGCTGTGTGTTACGAAGCTCGGGATAGTTTTAGACTTTGACTTTAATCTAAAAAAGTTAAATCTGGTCCTCTGGACATTAAAAAAACAAAACAAACAAATTGTAGAAACGTTTCGTCTTCCATCCGAAAGACTTCTTCAGCCTGAGGAGCTGTGTTCTGCTCAGTCTTATAAATAGCACCTTCTCGTACTGGATCAACCAGTTTGCTGCTGACAGCCAAAACCAGCTGTTCACATGTTCAAGGAGGACCATCAGCCTAACGATGGATCGTTAGCACACTGATGGCTGTTTGCTATTCACAGAGGGCTGAGTGATACTAGCAATAACAGCATTGTGACAGGGGGACAGTTGAACACGGAGGCCTCCACCCCTGTTTAATGATGGACTGTTTCTTTTGACAAAGATGGCCTCCTTTACTCTTCTTTCAAACCATTGATCCTCTCTATCCAGGATGTGAACATCTTCATCCCTGAAAGAGTGACCACTGGCCTGGAGATGAGTGTAGATCGCATAGTCCTGGCTTGATGATGTTGATCTTCTGTGCTGGGCCATTCTTTTGGCCAGTGGTTGTTTAGTTTCCCTGATGTAAGACTGATCACAGCCCTCCTGACACTGAACAACATACACAATATTACTCTGTTTGTGCCGGGGGACTGGATCTTTGGGATAAACCAGTCTTTGCCATAATGTATTTTGGGGTTTAAAAGCCACTGTGACGTTGTGTTTAGAAAACAAACGTCTTAGTTTCTCTGATACTCCCGCAACATATGGAATGACCACTGGTCTGGGTCTGGGTTCCTCCTTTTCACCTGATGGCTGGCTGGAGTCCTGTTTGGGTTTCTTCTCTGCTTTCAAGAAGGCCCAGTTAGGATATCCACATTGCTCTAGAGCCTGTCTTGTGTGGGATTTCTCCTTCTTCCTGGTTCCTGAGTTAGTGGGGATGCTGTCTGCTCTGTAGTACAGAGTCCTGATGACTCCTAACTTGTGTTCCAAAGGGTGATGGGAGTCAAATTGCAAATACTGGTCTGTGTGGGTGGGTTTGTGGTACACCTCAGTTGGCAAATGTCCTCTATCAGAAACTGAGACCTCATAGTCCAGGAAATCCAGCATGCCATTTTTTACATCTTCTCGTGTGAACTTGATATATTTATCCAGAGTTGATGTGATCAGTGAAATGTTGAACTTCCTGAGATATCATTTTAACCCAGGTGTCATCAATATACCTGAACCAATGACTTTGTGGTGTCCCTGAAAAGGATGTCATGGCTCTCTTTTCTACCTTTTCTACCTTAGCCACTCTAGGAGAAACTGGAGACCCCATAGCACACCCATGTTTCTGCCTGTACTATTGGCCCCTATATGTGAAGTAGAGTAGGGGAACATCAACTTACTGCTTGCTACCTTTGTATATCCTCTAATCAGATTATCAAAAAAATTTAACTTGACTCTTCCAGTTAAATTTGTCTTTTTAAAACTTGCTGGCAATTTCTTCAACACTTGGAATCGTTTTATTTTTGTAAGATTTTGTTGAGCTTGTTCTCAGCCTAATTTGTGTTTTTGTTATTAAGCTGAGCTGCAAAGGTCATTAATAGACAGATGCTTTGACTAAAGCCTTGCTTCTGATTTTTTTTTTCTCATCTCATTTTTTAAAAATGTATTAATTCTATACATTTTAAGTATAAGTTTGGGAAATTGTCACTGTTTAAAGACCAGATTTATTTTTGTTTTAATACACAACGGCACAATGAAAATATTTCCTCATGAACATCTGAAAACTGGAAAAGTCAGATATGGTTATTGCCTTTTTCACAAGATGTAGTGGCTGGAAACAGTCCAGTTCTGTTAAAACCCTCCAATGAGGCACAGGGCAGCTGTGCTGGTTTGTGTTTAATTGTGCAGTTCTGTCCCATCCAGGGGTGTTCTGGCCATCGCCTGGAGCTTGGCTGATTCTGATCTGCTTCTGAGCTGTGGAAAGGACAGCAGGATCCTGTGCTGGAATCCAAACACAGCTGAAGTGCTGTACGAGTTGCCCACCAGCAGCCAGTGGTGCTTTGACATCCAGTGGTGCCCCAGAAACCCCGCCGTTCTATCAGCTGCAAGCTTTGATGGACACATCGGCATCTACTCCATCATGGGGGGCAGCAGCCAGGCACAGAGCCAGAGACATGCTGACCAGGTGAGATTTGTTTGCAATAAAGAGGCTGATTCATCAACAGTTCGGAGGACTTTCTGGGGAAAAATCAGCCACATGTAAGCTTTGTTCAAAAGGTCTGAAGCAGGCTCTGAAGAAGCAATCTATTGCCATTTTAGAAGGTTTATTTTACACACATGAAAAGTGCAAAACAGCGCTGGACCATTTTAGAGCATAAGTTGGCTGCGATCAAAATGGCACCAACAATTCAGAGATCAACAGCTTTCCTCAAAAGCTGGCCACTCCTCTGAAGTGGTCGTCATCAACAGCTTATGGGAAATCTACTGTAACTGCATAACCAGCTTTTCAACCAATAATCTTTAGCTCATATGTTCAAAAATCTGGTGTCTGTCTGTTGAGAAGTGTATGCATGCAACTAAGAAATCCTTCTTACCAGAAACAAAATCCCTCCGGAACAAAAGATCCGCCTTGTCTCTTTTAACACAGAAAATTATAAAATAGATGCCATATAAAAAACAAAGAATACTAATAGAATAGAATATACCTTTATTGCCATTGCACCTAAATACAACAAAATTTGGGTTCTATTTCATATAGGCTTCGCCCTTTAAGGCTATCGCTAGTGGGTTTATCCCATCGAGCGCAGCGCAGCACTGAAAACTTTAGTCCACGCCCACTGGCTGTGTGGGCCCCACCGGCTGTGTGGGCCCCACCCCCATCCGTATAAATTACGGTGAGACTGGGTAATCAGCTCCAATTTTTTTCTTCAGCCAGCTAGCTAGCACTGTCAGAAGAACGAAGAAGGAAAAGATGTCCATCTTTGACTGGCATAACTTTTGCTAAGGATGCCTGGGTCTCCACCACGTCAACCTGCTGCTGTCCCGGTGAGCTCTTCCTCCCCAAGGAGAAGCAGAGACGAGCAGCCTTGTTCAAGGCAAGTGCCGAGGAGTGCTTTTCCGTGGCGGGCCGCTACCCGTTGGATGACGCTATCACCTTTTCTAACGTTTTTTTCCTCGCGATAAATTGGATGATTCCCTCGAAAAAGGCGATGTTAGCAGCAGCTCCGCTGAGTGTTTTTCCATGGAGGGCCGCTACTCACTGGACGACGCCACCGCCTTTTCTAACGTGTTTTCCTCACGGTGAATCGGATGATTTCCTCGAAAAAGGCATTGTTTGCAGAAGCTCTGCTGAGTGTTTGTCCGTGGCGGGCCACTACTCGCTGGACGATACCATTGCCTTTTCTAACGTTTTTTCCTCGTGGTGAATCGAATGATTCCCTCGAAAAAGGCAATGAGGGCAGTAGCTCTGCTGAGTGTTTTTCTGTGGCGAGACACTATGCGCAGGACGACGCCACCGCCTTTCTTTGACGCATGGTCACGCAGTGGATTGAATGATTCCTCCGTGAAATGCGATGCTGGAACAAACCTCGCTGCCCCTTCCCTCCTGGAGAGCGTAGTGATGGAAGAAGAGCGGTCGAACGGATGCTCAGCCACCTCGGGTCTTCCCACGTCGTCGACCACACCGCTCCCAGCCTTCGGCGCCCTCCTCTTGGAGCTGCCCTGCATAATCCAGGAGGCTGCTAACACAAAGGGACTTTCCGTCCCTCGCCTCCCTCCACCCTGATCGGATGATCTGGCGGGAAGGTTTGGCTCCGCCCCGGCTCTTCACCCTAATCCCATCTGGCCTTGCTGTCCAGCTGTGTCGACACATTGGAACGAGGCTGCAACTGGGCCTGGCAAGCTGAAGACATCTGCCGCCATCTTCGCCTCCATTTCCAGAGTGGAGGGTTTTACCGATCTGTGTTTTTCCCTTGGTCCCCCCACCACCACCAGAGCCACCAGAGGTGGAGGCGCTTGGGGCAAAAGCTTCCAGGATGGACCGGCAACCTATCCCTCCAGGGAAGCATGACCAGAGGGTGACAAAGCTCTCCAACCGAGCTCACCGATGCACATCCCAGGCGGTCGCAGCGAAAAACAAAATCGCTCTGCTGGCCTACAGCATCTCTAAGAGGCTGGAGGAAGCAGACCTGTTGGAGGAGACAAAGAGCTCTCTTTGTAAAGCTGCTGACGTCATCTTAAACATGTGCGCCACCTCTGCAGTCTGCCTGTCCCGCATTGCCGCCCGGATGACCATGATCCAGAGGACCACCTGGCTCCGCCTCTCGCCATCCTTGTCCGAGAGGCTGCAGGATAACCTGCTGGAGGGCCCCATCACCCCAGAGGTGCTGTTCGGGGCCAACTTCAGGACCATCCTTGAGAAATCGCAGAGGTTTGAGGAGGTCTCAGAGACTACACCATCTGGTGACGTCACAGTCCTCCTCCTGCCCCTGTGACCGCTGGAGGGACCACCTTGGCCAGCAACAGCAGCAGAGGCATTCCACAGCTGCGGCAGCGACTTCACGCTCCGCTCCTCCGCCGGCCCCCTCCACCAGGTAATAGATCCTTGAGGGGAATTTGTGTGTTTTTTGACTAATGTATGTTTTGAAATAAAACAGAAACATCTCTGAAAGTAAAGCTTCATCTGAGACTGTCAGATCAGCTGATCTCACAGCTGCCTCTCTTCACACATTCCCCACACAGAATGAGCCAGTAACCTCTAAACAGCATTTAAATGGCACTGCAGTTCAGTAAATATCACAAAACACTCGTCTGCCACGTCAGCTAAAATTATGTTTTTTCAGCAGACCGAGTCCGGTAAAATCCCTCGTTTTCAGCCAGAGCCCGTTTTTAATTTCTGCCCACTCACAGCGCAGCGGGAGTAAACGTGTTTCTCCATGACAGCTGCAGCCTCCACCGAAACGGCGTCTTACTCAGAAAGCGCTCACACCTCCTCTCAGTGTGCACCGGCTGACCTCAGCTCTAATATGAGACCGCAGCCTGGGCTCAGCACAGAGGCACACATACAGCCTTTTTTCTGTCTGGACCCCCCTTGGGTACTGCTACTGGTACCTACTGGTAGTAGGGTCACCCAAGGCAGACAGGTTCAAGGTGAGAGACCAGACAAAGTGCAGCCCAAAGACCACTTATGATAAATACAAACTATGGAAATAATGTTCCCTCACCCGGACGTGGGTCACAGGGGCCACACTCTGGAGCCAGCACTGGAGGTGGGGCATGCTGGCGAGCACCTGGTGGCTGGGATTTTACCCATGGAGCCCGGCTGGGCACAGCCCGAAGAGGCAACATGGGTCCCCCTTTCCATGGGCTCACCACCTGTGGGAGGGGTCAAAGGGGTCAGGTGCAATGTGGGATGGGTGGTGGCCAAGGGCGGGGACCCTTGCGGTCTGATCCTCGGCTACAGAAGCTGGCTATTGGGACGTGGAATGTCACCTCTCTGGTGGGGATGGAGCCTGAGCTGGTCTGTGAGGTTGAGAGATTCCAGATAGAAATAGTCGTACTCACCTCAATGCATGGCTCTGGCTCTGGAACCAGTTTCCTTGAGAGGGGTTGGACACTCTTCCACTCTGAAGTTGCCCCTGGTGAGAGATGCCGAGTAGGAGTGGGCATACTTGTTGCCCCCCATCTTGGTGCCTGTACGTTGGGGTTCACCCCGGTGAACGAGAGGGTAGCCTCCCTCCGCCTACATGTGGTGGGATAGGTTCTGACTGTTGTTTGTGCTTATGCGACAAACAGCAGCCCAGATTACCCACCCTTTTTGGAGTCCTTGGAGGGGGTACTGGAGAGTGCACCTCCTGGGGCTCCCTTGTTCTGCTGGGGGACTTCAATGCTCATGTGAACAATGACAGTGAGACCTGGAGGGATGTGGTTGGGAGGAATGGCCCCCCTGATCTGAACCCGAGTGGTGTTCTGTTATTGGACTTCTGTGCTCGTCATGGATTGTCCATAACGAACACCATGTTCAGGCATAAGGGTGTCCATATGTGCTCTTGGCACCAGGACACCCTAGGCCACACTCGTTGATCGACTTTGTTGTCGTCTCATCTGATATTCAGTCGCATGTCTTGGACACTCGGGTGAAGAGAGGGGCTGAGCTGTCCTCTGACCACTACCTGGTGGTGAGTCGGCTCCGATGGTGGGGGAGGATGCTGGTCAGACCTGGCAGACCCAAACATATTGTAAGTTTCTGCTGGGAACATCTGACAGAGTCTCTTGTGAGACGGAACTTTAAATCCCATCTCCAAGAGAGCTTCGAACACGTTCCGGGTGAGGTGGGGGACATTGATTCCGAGTGGGCCATGTTCCGCGCCTCTCTTGTCGAGGCGGCTTATCGGAGCTGTTGCCGCAAGGTTGTTGGTGCCTGTCGTGACAGTAACCCTCGAACCCGGTGGTGGACACCGGCGGTGTGAGATGTCATGGGTCTGTGGGCAGAATACTTCAAAGATCTCCTCAATTTCACTGGCACGTCTTCCACTGAGGAAGCAGAGCCTGGGGACTCTGGGTCGGGCTCTCCAATCTCTGGTGCTCAGGTCCCCAAGGTGGTTAAAAAGCTCCTCTGGGGCAGAGACCCAGGGGTGGATGTGATTTGCCCGGAGTTCCTTAAGGCTCTGGATGTTGTGGGGTTATGTTGGCTTACACGACTCTGCAATATTGTGTGGACACCGGGGGCAGTTCCCCTGGATTGGCAAACTGGGGTTGTGGTCTCCCTATTCAAAAAGGGGGACCGTAGATTGTGTTCCAATTACAGGGGGATCACACTCTTAAGCCTCCCTGGTAAGGTCTATTCAGGGGCCCTGGAGAGGAGGGCTCATCGGATAGTCTAACCTCGGATTCAGGAAGAGCAGTGCGGTTTTTGTCTTGGTCTTGGAACACTGGACCAGCTCTACACCCTCAGCGGGGTCCTGGAGGGTGTGTGGGAGTTTGCCCAACCAGTCTACATGTGCTTTGTGGACTTGGAGAAGGCGTTCAACCGCGCCCTTTGTCACCAATTCTTTTCATAACTTTTATGGACAGAATTTCTAGGCACAGCCAAGGCGTTGAGGGGATCCGTTTTGTTGGCCTTAGAATTGCTTCTCTGTTTTTTGCAGATGATGTGGTCCTATTGGCTTCATCAGGTCATGATCTACAGCTTTCGCTGGAGCGGTTTGCAGCCGAGTGTGACGCGGCTGGGATGAGGATCAGTTCCTCCAAATCCGAGGCCATGGTCTTGAGCCAGGAAAAGGGTAGAGTGCCCTCTCTAGGTCGGGGAGGAGGTCCTGCCCCAAGTGGAGGAGTTTAAGTATCTCGGGGTCTTGTTCACAAATGAGGGAAACATGGAGCGTGAGATTGATAGGCGGATAGGTGCAACATCGGCAGTGAAAAGGGCGCTGTATCGGTCTGTCGTGGTGAAGTGAGAGCTGAGTCAAAAAGCGAAGCTCTCAATTCACCGGTCGATCTACGTTCCTACCCTCATATATGGTCATGAGCTTTGGGTTGTGACCGAAAGAACGAGATCTCAGATACAAACGGCCAAAATGAGTTTTCTCCGCAGGATGTCTGGGCTCTCCCTTAGAGATAGGGTGAGAAGTTAGGCCATCTGGGAGGGACTCAGAGTAGAGTCGCTGCTTCTCCACATCGAGAGGAGCCAGTTGAGGTGGCTTGGGCATCTGGTTAGGATGCCTCCTGGACGCCTCCCTGGTGAGGCACGTCCCACCGGGAGGAGACCCAGAGGAAGACCCAGGACACGCTGGAGGGACTATGTTTTTCGGCTGGCCTGGGAACGCCTTGGGATTCCCCTGGAGGAGTGGAGAGGGGCGGAGGGGCTGGCCCAAGTGGCTGGGGAGAGGGACGTCTGGGCCTCCCTACTTGGGCTGCTATGCCCGCGACCCGACCCCGGATAAGTGGAAGAGAATGGATGGATGGACTTTCACCAGTGTTGTTTCTATGCAGTGTTGGGCTCTAAACCCTGACTGAATCTCCTCAACCAAAATGGTTTATGTTCAGATGCCCATTCATTTGATTTGCAACTATTTTCTCAATAATTTTTTCGATGAAAGGTTTATAATTGGCCAGATTTCTTGATTCAAGATCAGGTTTCTTAAGTAAAAGTTTAACTACAGTAACCTTAAAGCGCTGTGGTACATAACTATTCATTAGACACAAATTAAGCAAATCAAAAATTGTGATACTAATTAGGAGAAATACCTCTTTAAACAGTTTGTTTGGGGATGGGATCTAGCAGACATGTTGATGGTTTGGATGAAGCTAATATTGTTGACAATTCAGGGAGCTCAACAGGACAAAAACAGTTCAAACGTCAATCAGTTTCTAGTGACATTTCTAAAGCTGCCTCATCTGACATGGAATTGGAGGCAACAGTAGGAAGGATTGTGTGAATTTTCTCTCTAATTGAAATAATGTCTTTTTTTATTTTAAAAAAATCTCATGAAGGCATCACTACTTATAGCTGTAGGGAAGTATGACTCAACAGAGATAGGGATTTTCATTAGTCTAGCTATGGTACTGAACTGAAACCTAGGGTTATTTTTATTCTCTTCTATTAAAGATGAATAATATAGTTCTAGCTGTATGGAGGGCTTTTTTATATGTTAGCAGACTATCTTTCTAAGTAAAATGAACTTCTTTCCTTCTTTGCCACAAGCATGGTGGAGTGGAGTGCCATTTTCTTTCCAGCTTTCTAGATGCATGTTTTAAATTACGTAACTCAGAATTGAACCAAAGAGCTAACTTCCTCTGACTGATTACTTTCTTTTTCAGCAGAGCAGTTTTATCAATTGAAGTTTGCATTGAAGTTGTAAAACCATAAACAAGAATATCTAAGTCAGTGCTCTCTATTGCATTACTCTGCAAGACAGAGGAAAGCAACAAAAGAAGAGATTCTTTAAACTTAATAGCTGTATATTTATTTAATAATAATAAAAAGTGTACATATTTTAATATTTATCAATCTCTTGTTTGTACGGGCTCTGGATATCTGTGTTTCAGATCAGTAACTCGTTTGGGAATATGGATCCTTTTGGGACGGGACAAATGTTGCCTCCGTTACAGCTGCCTCAGACTGCTGCCCCTCCAGCTGTGGTCAACCCCCTGAAGAAACCCCCTAAGTGGATTCGTAGACCCATGGGAGCCTCATTTGCTGTGAGTTCCTCTTTTTTTCTGATTTACAGGTGGGCTCATAGGATGCTGGCTCCTGACAATCACGTTTTTTCTTTTTCCTTTAGTTTGGTGGGAAGCTGGTGTCTTTAGAGAACCTGAAACCTCAGCACCCATCTTCTCATCTCGTTCACATCAGTCAGGTTGTCACAGAAACGGACTTCTTGAAACGCTCCAATAAACTGCAGGCCACACTGAGCTCAGGCAGATTTGTGGACTTCTGCCAGGAGAAGATAGATGCAGCTGAGAATGAGTTTGAAAGAACTGTTTGGTCCTTCTTGAAGGTTTGAACTTCAGTGCCTTTGGTGGGGAAAAGCTACAAACATAGTTTTTATTATTTAAACTATTTATTTGTGTTTTTAGGCTAATTTTGAAGTAGAAATTCGTAGCAAATACCTGAACCTTCTGGGTTACAACAAAGAGGAGCTGGCCGTGAAGGTGATCTTGCTGCCCTCCTGTGATTCTACATATACACTCATCACTATACTCAAACCTTTAAATGCTTTGCACTGTTTCTTAGAGACACAATCTTACTCATTTGTCTATTTCTTGCCAGGTTTCAGCAGCTTTAAAGGAAAAACCAACAGAAGCAAAGGTAAGTCAGAGAGTTGTTTGTCTGACTGAACCAGTGGATGAATTTGATTAAAACATCTATAACTGATCAAATTTTAGGTTCAGTCCAATTCGAAATGGTTGCCCCAGTAAGCCAACACAAAATGGCTGTAACTGTTAATTTTCTAGATGCTGAACTAAAGTAGAATTGTTAGTACAGGAGTCATTCACAGCACATACACTGAACACAAACAAATTTCAGTTATCTGTGTTTCATAAAATTGGACATATTTACTTCCTTATTTCTCATTATGAGATTATTTTAGTTTCTAATGGGTTTAACAGGTGTAGGAGATGTGCATTCTTCCAGGATTACTAGGCTTTTACCTGTTCTCCATCATGGAGCGAAGCAAGGAATTTGAAAATACCCTCCGTCTGTCTTGTGAGCATGATAACTAGAAAAATAAGTTGGATATCGACTAATTGTGGTTGCCATGTCAAAATCCAAGCTGGCTATACATTATAATATATATGTTAACCTTGTGAGCTGGATAACTTGAGAAATAAACATGCTAACTTCCAGTTCGATGTGTGGCTGCATCTACAGTGATGCTTGAAAGTTTGTGAACCCTTTAGAGTTTTCTGTATTTTTGCATAAATATAACCTAAAACATAAGATTTTTACACAAGTCGGGGACAAGATGGCAGCGGCTCATTAGGTTGCTTTTAGCTCGGGCTCCCGCCATTACTGCTGAGTTTTTTTATTTCTGTAGACTTATGAGTCTGTGGACTTGGGGCGGCTGTGGCTGAGTGGTTAGAGCAGTTTTCCTCCAATGCGAGAGTTGGGGGTTCGATTCCAACAGCAGTTGCATGCCAAAGTGTCCCTGAGCAAGACACTGAACCCCTCATTGCCTCTGATGTGTGTCCCATCTGTGTGTGATAAAGCACTGATTAGTCTTTGTATAGGTATAGTAGAGTGCTGTCTGAATGGGTAAATGAGGACCCAGATTGTATTGTAAAGCGCTTTGAGTATCTTGATAAGATAGAAAGGTGCTATATAAATACAGTCCATTTACGGTACCATTTAGACTGCTCATAAAGACCATGGCCTTCACACGTCTCATTGACCAGTGGCATCTCTTGACGCTGAACTAGGATAACTATAAGTTTCCTGAACTTTCTACCAGTCCCAGCCTGTTCAATTTAACACAATATTGATATTGGTAAAACTCCACATGTCTTTTTATTTGAGATCCTAGATCTCCCTATAAACCCCTCCGTGGCATACTTGTGTCATAAACCCCTATGTGTTCTATTTAGAGAAAGTCCCTTCGTGACTTCTCTTTAAGATCCCAGATCTCCTTGTAAGCCCCTACGTGGCATACCTATTGAAAGTCCCTTCATGACCCCTTTGAGATCCCAGATCTCCCTATAAACCCTTCGTAGCATACCCATGTCATAAACCCTTATGTGTTCTATTTAGAGAAAGTCCCTTCGTGACTTCTCTTTAAGATCCCAAATCTCCTTGTAAGCCCCTATGTGGCATACGTATTGAAAGTCCTTTCGTGACTTCTCTTTGAGATCCCAGATCTAGTAGGAAGCCCCTACATGGCATACCTATTGAAAGTCCCTTCGTGACTTCTCTTTGAGATTCCAGATCTACTTGTAAGCCCCTATGTGGCATACGTATTGAAAGTCCTTTCGTGACGTCTCTTTGAGATCCCAGATCTACTTGTAAGCCCCCTACGTGGCATACGTATTGAAAGTCCCTTCGTGACTTCTCTTTGAGATCCCAGATCTACTTGTAAGCCCCTACATGGCATACTTACTGAAAGTCCCTTTGTAACTTGCTGCACTATGGATCACCACCAGCATTTTTTCTCCCTCCGTCCAGCTGGACGTTTCTGCTCCCGCCTCTCTGCAACCATTAGCAGAGAAAAGCCTGGCGCCGCCTGCTGACACTCCGGAGACAGTGTTTGAGCTGATTGCTGCTGCAAACCTCCAGCCAGCAGCCACTCCAGAGCCAGAGGAAACACTGGAACCAGATGATGTTCCTGACTGCGAACTGGATACAGATCTGAACCAAGCTCTCACTGAGGAGGATGTAGACGAGAAGCAGGAGGAGATTCCACTGAATGAGGTACAAATTATTTTGTTGTAGATTATACTATCCAGACTACTAGGGAAATGTTTTGTCCATTTTGAAATGAGGTTTTGGGGACAAGAGATTTAATATTGTAGTTGTTGTAGATTGCTGTTTGGATGACCTCTGTTTGGTGAAAAAAGGTTATATTTGATAGGAATGATGAGCTCAACTGTAGTTCAGGAGTGGGCAACATTTTTTTTTCCAAGTGGCCAAATCAAGATATTTAATGCTATTGAAGAACCACGTAGAGAATTTGAAAATAAATTTTCTCTAAGACCGATAATCCGGAGGACTTTTTTAGTCTTCTTCTTAATGAAGCATAGTTAGCACGTTTGATTAAAAACAAAGTCTCCCCAATACTTTTTAGGAAATAAGAGATTCTTTCATTAAACTGGCTCTTGTGACAATAAATGATCCTAAATCTGAAAAGAAAAAAAAGTTAAATTATTTTGATGGAGGAGTGGTTGCGCAGAGATTAGAGAAGATGGACCTGTGATCTGAAGGTCGCTTGTTCAACTCCCCAGACCGACAACATCAAAATGTTGGTGAGAAAGGAAGGACCCCACATCTGCCTCCACTCTCATTTGCCCCACTCAGATTTATTTGTTTGTTTTTAAAAACGTGTGTATTTTTCATAATTTGGTGAAATATACAGAAATCATCATGTTGTTTGTAGGAAATTCCAGCCCTGGTGGAGGTGGAGGGGTCCAGTCCTGTTAAGACTCCAGCTGAGATCCCATCTCCAGTTCTATCTCCTGCAAGAAGAGTCAGCCTCAGCATCAGTCAAGGTAACCTCTTCACCTACCCTGTTTTCCTTCACATGTTAACAGAAACAAATTAAGACATCTAGGAAAAGGAGGTCAAAGAGAAAACAAAAACTCTAGACCAAACAAAGATAAAGCATATTGTGCATTTATATAAAAATTACAGTTCTTTGTGTTTTAACTCAGCAAAGTTTGACTTCAATTAAACTGCTTGAAATTTTATATTTTCTGTCCATCTATCTATGGATGGAGAGAGGGAGAGAAGAGAGATGGATAGATCAATACATAGATCTGCCAGTTTGTCAGGCTTAAGGAGGAGAGGGACCATCCAGCCTGTTATCAGAGCACAGTTTAAAACCCTGCCTCTCTGATGGAATGGGGTTAGCGAGGCAGGAGACAGCTCACACACCTGGAAAAGCACTATCAAAACAGATTTTTGAACATCCAGCCAACACCTTTGTTGGAGAAAGCCTTTCATTTTTCAGCAAGACAAAGTTAAACCTGATCTGCATCATGACACTAGCATGGCTTCATGGTGGAAGAGTCCAGGATCTGAACTAACCTGCCGTAGTCCAGACCTTTTACTAATTAAAAACATTTGGTGCATCATGAGAAAAACAAATCCTGCAAAGAAGAGCCAGAACTATTGAACAGAATCTCCCATCAGACCATGGTGGGAGAAAAACTTCCAGCAGCTGGTCTCCTCCGGTCCTTGTTTACAGACTGATTTTAGAAGAATGGGTGGTTCAATGTGAGAAATATGGACCTGAAACAGCTGTCCAGAAATGTTTTCGGAAATATGATTGTAAATCTGGGTGGTTTGTTTCTTTGTTTCCTGTAAGATGTGGATGGCCTGATCACGCAGGCTCTGCTGACCGGAGACTTTGAGGGAGCCGTAGAGCTTTGTCTTCGTGACAACCGAATGGCAGACAGCATCATTCTGGCTGTCGCTGGAGGGGTTGAACTTTTGAAGAAAACCCAGAAGATGTATTTCACAAGAACTCACAGCAAGATAACTAAGGTAAAACCTGGTGAGGCTGATGCCTTTCTAGTGAAATAATAAACTAATGGGTGATGTGATGATATACCTGCAGCTGATCAGCGCCGTGGTCATGAAGGACTGGCGTGACGTCCTGAACACCTGTGAGCTGCAAAACTGGAAGGAGGCTCTGGCTGCCGTCATGACTTATGCTCAGCCCGAGGAGTTCTCGTCTCTTTGTGGTTGGCCCTTGTTCATGTTTGTAGATGAAAAACCACCTGTCTGATGCTCAGCTCTGACTTTATGCTCTTCAACTTGTTTCTTAGACCTTCTTGGGGACAGACTAGAGGCAGCAGAGGATCCCCAGCTGAAATCTAAAGCCTTTTTGTGTTACATCTGTGCTGGGAACATGGAGAAGCTGGTGTCTTGTTGGAGCAGAACGCAGGACAGACATTGTCCTCATTCCCTGCAGGTCTGTATGTTGGACTGGATTTAAAACAGGGCTCCACTTGTGTGTTTTAATGTCCAACTAGAGAAACTGCTGCGGGTGAATTGACTTTACTGAAGCTGAAGCTTGTTCAAGTCCAAGCAGAACAAAAGCTAAAATTAACAAAATTATTTTGTAAATGAAAATAGTAACTAAAAGTAGCTAAAAAGTGCTCTGACCCTGGCTCACCAAAGCTGGTTCTTGGAACAGGAAATGTCTCTTCTCTGGTTGGCGAGGAGCTGTGGTGAAAGGTGCCAGGCTGGTGTGGGTCTGCTTACAGACAGATCAGTGCAGTTTATGCTGTATTGTGCCAGTCCGTTGTGGTGAAGAGGGAACTGAGCTGCAAAGTGAAGCTCTCTGTTTACCACTTTGTCTACGTTCCTACCCTCACCTATGGTCTTGAACGCTGGTGGTGACTGAAAGATCGTGGATCCATCCATCGTTTGTCCATTTTCTTCCACTTATCCGGGGTCGGGTCACGGGGGTAGCAGCTTAAGTAGGGAGGCCCAGACTTCCCTCTCCCCAGCCACTTGGTCCAGCTCCTCCGGGGGAATCCCGAGGCGTTCCCAGGCCAGCCGAGAAAAACATAGTCCCTCCAGCGTGTCCTGGGTTTTCCTCTGGGTCTCCTCCAGGTGGGACGTGTCCGGAACAACTCACCAGGGAGGCGTCCAGGGGGCATCCCAACCAGATGCCCAAGCCACCTCAACTGGCTCCTCTCGACGTGGAGAAGCAGCGGCTCTACTCAGAGTCCCTCCCGGATGATCAAGCTTCTCACCTTATCTCTAAGGGAGAGCCCAGACACCCTGTGGAGAAAACTCATTTGGCCGCTTGTATCCGAGATCTCGTTCTTTCGGTCACAACCCAAAGCTCATGACCATAGATGAGGGTAGGAATGTAGATCTATCGGTAAATTGAGAGCTTCGCCTTTTGACTCAGCTCTCTCTTCACCACTACAGACCTGTACAGCGCCCGCTTCACTGCAGACGCTGCACCTATACGTCTATCAAGCTCATGTTCCATTTTTCCCTCATTCGTGAACAAGACCCCAAGATATTTGAACTCCTCCACTTGGGGCAAGACCTCCTCCCTGACCCGGAGAGGGCACTCTACCCTTTTCCGGCTCAAGACCATGGCCTCGGATTTGGAGGAACTGATCTTCATCCCGGCCGTGTCACACTCTGCTGCGAACCGCTCCAGCGAAAGCTGTAGATCACGATCTGATGAAGCCAATAAGACCACATCATCTGCAAAAAACAGAGACGCAATCCTAAGGGCATCAAAACGGATCCCCTCAACACCTTGGCTGTGCCTAGAAATTTTGTCCATAAAAGTTATGAACAGAATCGGTGACAAAGGGCAACCTTGGCGGAGTCCAACTCTCACTGGGAACAAGCCCGAATTACTGCCAGCAATGCGGACCAGACTCTGACACCGGTCATACGGGGACCCAACATCCCGTATCAAAGGGCCCGGTACTCCCAGAGTACCCCCCCACAGTGGTCCCCAAGGGACGCGGTCGAATGCCTTCTCCAAGTCCACAAGGCACATGTAGACCGGTTGGGCAAACTCCCACGTACCATCCAGGACCCTGCTGAGAGTGTAGAGCTGGTCCAGTGTTCCACGACCAGGACAAACCTGCACTGCTCCTCCTGAATCCGAGGTTCGACTATCGGACGGACCCTCCTCTCCAGAACCCCCGAATAGACCTTACCAGGGAGGCTTAAGAGTGTGATCCCCCTGTAGTTGGAACACACTCTACGGTCCCCCTTTTTGAATAGGGGGACCACCACCCTGGTCTGCCAATCCAGGGAAACTTCCCCCATGTCCATGCAATATTGCAGAGTCACGTAAGCCAACACAACCCTACAACATCCAGAGCCTTAAGGAACTCCGGGCGAATCTCATCCACCCCTGGGACCCTGCCACCGAGGAGTTTTTTAACCACCTCGGTGACCTCAGCACCAGAGATTGGAGGGCCCGACCCAGAGTCCCCAGGCTCCGCTTCCTCAGTGGAAGACATGCCAGTGGGATTGAGGAGGTCTTCAAAGTTTTCTGCCCACCGACCCACGACATCTTGAGTTGAGGTCAGCAGCACACCACCCCTACTATAAACAGTGTTGTATTGTACCCCCCCCCCCCCCCCGAGACGCCGGATGGTAGACCAGAATCGCCTTGAAGCCATGCGGAAGTCATTCTCCATAGCCTCTCCAAACTCCTCCCATGCCTGAGTTTTTACCTCAGTGACCACCCGAGCCGCATGTCGCTTAGACTGCCGGTACCCATCAGCTGCTTCCAGGGTCCTACAGGCCATAACGGCCCGATAGGACTCCTTTTTCAGCCTGACAGCATCCCTCACGGCCGGTGTCCACCACCGGGTTCAAGGGTTGCCGCCACAACAAGCACCGACAACATTGCGGCCGCAGCTCTGGTAAGCCGCCTCGACAATAGAGGCACGGAACATGGCCCACTCGGACTCAATGTCCCCCACCTCCCCCGGAACATGTTCGAAGTTCTCCCGGAGATGGGAGTTAAAGCTCCGTCTCACAGGAGACTCTGCCAGACGTTCCCAGCAAACCCTCACAATATGTTTGGGCCTGCCAGGTCTGACCGGCATCCTCCCCCACCATCGGAGCCAACTCACCACCAGGTGGTGATCAGTGGACAGCTCTGTCCTCTTCACCCGACTGTCCAAGACATCTGGCCGCAGATCAGATGAGACGACGACAAAGTCAATCATCGAACTGCGGCCTAGGTTGTCCTGGTGCCAAGAGCACATATGGACACCCTTATGCTTGAACATGGTGTTCGTTATGGACAATCCATGACGAGCACAGAAGTCCAACAACAGAACACCACTCGGGTTCAGATCAGGGGGGCCATTCCTCCCAACCACATCCCTCCAGGTCTCACTGTCATTGCCCACGTGAGCATTGAAGTCCCCCAGCAGAACAAGGGAGTCCCCAGGAGGTGCACTGTCCAGTACCCCCTCCAAGGACTCCAAAAAGGGTGGATAATCTGAAGTGCCATTTGGGGCATAAGCACAAATGAACCCGTCCCCCACATGTAGGCGGAGGGAGGCCATCGTCTCATTCACCGGGATGAACCCCAACACACAGGCACCAAGATGGGTTGCAATAAGTATGCCCACTCCTGCTCGGCGCCTCTCACCAGGGGCAACTCCAGAGTGGAAGAGTGTCCAACCCCTCTCAAGGAAACTGGTTCCAGAGCCAGAGCCATGCCTAGAAGTGAGTCAGACTATTTCTAGCCGGAACCTCTCAACCTCACACACCAGCTCAGGCTCCTTTCCCACCAGTGAGGTGACATTCCACATCCCAATAGCCAGCTTCTGTAGCTGAGGATCAGACTGCCAGGGTTCCCGCCCTCGGCCACCACCCATTCCACATTGCACCTGACCCCTTTGGCCCCTCCCACAAGTGGTGAGCCCATGGGAAGATCCGGGTCCCACAGTAAACTTCCGGTAAGATGGCACCCTTGTACATGGCTTGCAATCCACCTCTGCTGATGGTGTTCGGATTATTTATGTTTTCATTTTTTATCTGGGACATAAACTCGCTGCTGGTGTATGACCGACAACAGCTTCGGGATCTTCATTTCCTGTCACCGATGTCACTTATTTGGGCCAAGATGAGCGTACCTCTGGACCCCGGTAGCTTCCCCGCCCCCCCCGACCG